CAACTCGGCCCAATCAGTTGAATGTCACATAATGGGGAGTGGCAGTTGGCCTATTGATTGGTTTTCAATTAATGTTCTTTATTTTTGGCTTTCCTTTGGTTTATTTTGTATTTATACAATCGCAAACGGAAGCCTTGGGTGACTTTAAATACTATTTAAAACAGAAGCTGTTTTAAAGAGATTTAAGTTAAGAAGAAGTTTATGAATGGGAGATAATCAAGAATATAATTATAGTTAAAGTTTTCCATGTAAGATTTTCCTTCTTTTTGAAGTTTTACCAACTCAAAGCAAATTTTACTTACCAAAACCAGAACCTTTAGAGGTAATTGACTTTGAAATCAGCTTCCTTTACGCTTGAAGCCCCCTGCAAGATGCATACTCCACTTAGCCTTGGACATTTTGGGGCAATCGAAGGTGGCATGTGGCTGTCTGGAACTGCTGGAGTACCGAGCAGACAGTCATTATGAGGTTGGGGAACCTTAATAACCAAACACATCCTTCCTGCTTGGCTGGCTCGCTCGCTCCTCGGGCCGTTGGCTTCTTCTTTTTGTCATTTTCATTTTTCCTGAATATGTATAGCATGTATGTATGTATATATATTTTTCCTCGCGTTAGACCATGGTCTGGGTTCGGGGGAAAATTCGAGTCATGTGTGGCCGACATGCATAATTCAAAACGTGGCTGGGAAAATGTTTGTCCTGCTCCGAGTGTGTTTGTGTGTAGCCACTTTTTTATGTTGGTAATTCTTCGACTATGTGGACTTTTTTTCTCCTTTTTGTGGGCCAACGCAATTTTTGTATGCAGCAAAAAAAAAAGAAGCCTTCGCCTTCTGTTTGACATATTTTTCACACATACAGCGCAGCAGCGTCTGCTTGTTAAATTGTTGACGGCAATTTTGGGGTTAGCGTGACAAACACACAGGAACACACACCAGCATGAAAGGCATTCACCCACACAAGGACATGCCAGTGCAACCAACTTGATGTTTGTTAAGTTCCTTTGGCGACTTCTGGTAGAAAAAAGAACTCTAGTTTAACAGTCTTCCATGGATTTTTTAACACTTCTTGGTGGCTTGTGGAAGGAGACTATCATGGAGAGGAGAATTGCATCTTTATGGGAGAAAATAAACCAGAAAGCGTAACGTAGCATACGGAAGTTAGATGTCCTTTAGGAGCTCATTCTGTTCCCAAAAACTAAGCGAAAAGCCACTTAAAAGAAAGGTCATTTTCCTATAATCTCTTATTCGCTTTTGCTTGTACATTGCAAGCAATTCATGGTAGAGGGAGAGAGAGAGAGCGAGAGCAGTAGTCTCGATTCCGTTTGCATGCAACCGTTCTTTTAGGGGTACCATTTCCTCTTTCGATTATTATTATTCCCCTATAAATAGCTTTAGGATAAAGCTTATCCTATGCGTTCCTCCTTATCCATTAAGTGCTAAATATTGTTGGCTATGGAAATTGAAATTAAACCATACCCCAGCACAATTCCGTGTTGATCTTACACCATTTTTAATGGACTTCCACCGACATCTGACAGTAGTGTTGGCAAATATGCAAAGTTGCTTTTTATCTTTGCCCATTTCTCTCCGACATTTTCCCCCCCATATACCAGGCACGCGAAAGGACGGACAGGGCGAGGCGGGATTGAGAATCGCTTGCATGTTTAGCACTTGACGGCTTAATGGCGAACAATTTGGGTTAAGACAAGAGGGAACGCCCCTCTCGACTGGACTCCAACTGGCAGCGGGGACTGGCCTGGATTAAGGGATATAACTGGATATACATAGCTCTGGCAAAGCTCTGGCTGGGGGCTTAAACCGGGACATTTCAATTATGGTAAGAGGCCTTAAAGAAAGCCCCTGCCAAGTTATGGAAATTCAAGTCAACCAAAGAGCAAACGAGAGAAACACTTTAAATTGAAGAAAAATAATAAAAATATCCCTGATAGCCTCTCCAAAAACTGAAAATAATCCTTTAAATTCATTTAATCGCTTTCCCCTAATAGAATGCACTCGAAAGATGAAAATCTCATTTGCCGGACAATTGTTTTAACTGCAACTGTAATTCGAGAAATAAATAATGCGCCTCGAGCAGGGCAAAGCGTCGACATAAGGGACTGGACAGCACAGGACAGGAATTGGACAAAACACGAACACCACCACCGCCCGCACGACGACCAATAGCCCTTGGCCAAAACAGGACAAACAACATGGCAAACGGTATATGGGCGGGGGGGATATGGGTGCCAGGATGGGAGACTGGCCAAAGGATTGAGCTTGAAGCTTAACAAACATGCAGCTGCCAAGAATTTATTGGCTGGACAATGACAACGACAAGGACCGAGCAGGACAATTATCATTGTAAACATTTTGCCATGACTCTGGCAAAATGAGGAATGGACACAAGCGATGTTTAAGCTTGCCATTCAAGCGGGTTTTTTACTCAGGTTCGAACTGTGGGTTTGTGAGTGTGCTTGGGCCAAAGTTTTTGTATTTGCAGTCTGCACATTTTAGAGTTTAGAAATGTATTTTAAACAGAGCTTGAAAGAGGGGGTCCTGCTTAGAATTGGTTCCATTCTCCATTTATTATTGATTATTTTTTGAGAAAGATATAGATCTAAAGTTCTTAAACCTTTCTTATCAATCAAACTTCAATAAGTTAACTCGCTGAATGTTTTCTTTAAAATTTAAATATATTTTCTAAATATAATATTTGGTTCAATAAGAACTCAACCTTTTCCCAAAATCATCCCCCAGCTGTAGCTGAAGCCTCACTTGATCCCATTCCATTAGCGTCGCTCACTCTGCTCTGCGATTGCCGCGAGCAAAGTTTTCCTGGCCAGCGCAGTTTCAGTTACATTTTCCCAGAGAAAATTCCAAGGAATGGCGATGGTTCTTCGGCGAGTTCTTCAGTTGCAGCCCTCGAGTTGCAAAAGTGCATTAGACACAAAGTAATCGATACTCGCTGGAGGAGCTGCCGAAATGCTTTAAGCTCTCCTCCATCCAACGCGGAGGAGGAGATGTGTTTAAGCTATCTCGCCTGGCTGGGGCTTGGCTTTGCCAGAGAAAATTTGTTTTTAAGTTTACATTCATAGGACTTATCAGTTTCCCCGAAATTGAAATGTTTGCACATCGCTGAATCTGCGCGGGTTTCCTTCCGGTTTTGTTTGCTCAAAGCTTATGGGGTTGGTGAGTGTGTGCGATGCGATGAGTGTGTGTGCCGTGTGTGTTGTGTGCTTATCGAATTTACTTACTTATTTAGGTAGAGGAGCCATGTTAATGGCATATTAGAAAGCCATATAGATGATGGGCGGCCTGGATGGATGGATGCTGTAGCCGTTTTAATGTCAGGTTAGGTAAACACTTTGCGAAATGAATTAACTTTAAGCCGCAAAATTTGTGCGTGTGTGTGGGCGTTGTGTGTGTGGTGTGTATGCGAGTGTGCATACATAAATGCTCGTAATTGTTTATTTACATAACTTGGCATAAGATTAAAGACGCTTTTGATTAACGATGCGAGAGATAGGAGGGACTTGAAATTAAATTGCAAACATTTAATGCCTGACAGGCAGGCCTAAGAAGCTATTTCTGTCGTTGGTCTTGTTTTGGTGGAGTAACAAATAGTTTAAATTAAACATTACTCTGTTAATATTAATCTTTTTCGGGCTGTGGAAATATTTGCAATTGGGAAAATATTATGCAACGTACTTGAGTTTATGTATTTTTGTTGAAATTAAATTAGAATAGTTTCATGGATTAATTGCTTAAGAAAGCAAATAAAACTGTTCAAGTTGAATAAAGCTAAAAGCTAGCGGAAGAATATAATTTTCTTTATTAGTTTGCCAACGGGAATGTTGAAGACTTTTCTTGCAAAGTTTTCCCGGCAAACAGAGCGTATGAGCAACGTGAGCCCCAAGCAGGATCCTCTTTAAAAAAAAATAATAGTAAATAATAATAATTAGCATTTTGCATTATGCAGATGCCACAACTTAACAGCTTTCCCTGGCACATTTTCCGATTTCAATTAGTGCCAAATGCTAAGGAATAACAAAATTTGCTGCTTCATCCATATTCATTCTGCCTTGGAGCATTTATGTGCGGATTTGCGCGAAAAATGCCAAAAAGTTAAGCGCGAAGGCGAAGCCGAAGGCTGGGGCAAAGCCGCCCTAAGCCATAATTTAATATATTGACACAAAGCTTTGTCGTAAGACGTGTCTTGGCACCATCATAATCCCCAATATTGTATATTGACAGCTGTCAAAGGAGCCACTTCCCTCCACATTTCCCCTCTCCTCCTCAGAAGAAAAAAAAACCTTCAAGAAAAAAGTAAGTTTTCGGCTTAATGCGCAACTATGCGGAAAATATTTGCGCTTAGTTTGAGTTTCGGCATAGGAAATGTAGTCACACACATGAACCCACCACAGCCAGCTACGTGTGCCGCAGGCTGAAGGACACGGCAGGATGCCGCTTGGAGTGGTGACAGCTTTAAGACGCCCCGGAATAACTGCCGCCGCCGACGTCAGTCGTCGTCTTCAATGGGCAGAGATTACTCTCGGCGCCAAATTCAAATTAAGTCCTCGCACAATAGAGCCGTGCTCCGCGTTGCCTAGGCTCCCTTCGAAATTTATTATGTGGGAACCTTCTTTTAACGAAACGAAACTGAACGCTCTGCCACCGCAATTTCATTTACTTTAGTTACCTTCTCGAGGGTGTTGATGAAAGGTCCTTAGTTTAACCTGTAGTTAACACTCTTTAGTGTGTACTCTGTGGTTGCATCTTAAATGGCAGACGATTTGAAATTTAAGCACACTAAACAAGTGTATTGTGAGAGCGTGGGCTTAATAATTGGGGAAAATTTAAGTTTTTAGGGGTGTAAATTAGGGTAGATAGATATTTGTTGCCAAAGCCCGATATAACAATCAATATTTTGGCATATTTCATACTAGTTTTCATCTCTAATCTCTAATTTATACCCATGAACCCCCTTCATTTTCAGATTATATACTATAAATGTGGACATTTAATTTTCAATATTATAGTTTTCTGGCCTTGGAAAATCAGGGTAAGTTGCGTCCTCGAAACGCGGATAGATTTCTGGCTAAGTGCGAGCGGCTTCCGGCTCTGGGATGCCTTGACCTCCTCTGGCTTCTGTTGACTGTAGGGTATGGTCCTCTTCCCTGCCCTCCAGATAGCGAATTGGATGAGGCAACGGTAACGGGATAAGCTTGCTCGTCCTCCCGCTGACTGCGCACATCTGGCAGGGAATTTCTGTTGGAGGCAGGAGGGGCATCAGCAGGATTAGCTAGAGGCGTGTTCATCAGTCGCCTCGGAATCAACGAGTCCACAGTCAGTTCCTTCACCCGATCCGCATAGCGTAGGGTGTTTAGGGTGTGCTCTACCGAATGCAGGCCCGGCGATATCATGGCTATCATGCAAGTCTTGACTTTTTTGCCGCCTATAAACGAGTCGCGCAGGACCTGGGTGAGCTTGGAGCCTCTGAAGGGCAGGTGGGCCGACTGGCGACCCAAGGCCCGGATGCACTCCTTGAGGACCAGCAGCGACTTGTTGATGTCCGATCCCTCGAGGCGCGTCAGCCGATCGACGGAATTATTGTCCGCTCCCCGTTCGTTCCCGGCCAGATCGATCAGGGAGAACTTGCCATGCGGGCGCTCAGTGATTGAAGAGGATTTCCGCAGGACAATCTGGAAGACGGCATGGGAGCGCGAAGACTTGGAATTGGCCGAGGTCTGACCCGAAGTGCGGACACTGTTGCCGAGGTCGAGCAGGTTCAGAACATCCTCGACGTTCTTTACGGCATTCTCGGTCAGACCCACCACTTGGACCTGCTGATGGCCGTCCTCCAGTACCTTCAGCTGGGGTTTTCCCGTCACCAGGAGATCGTACACCCGCGAGCCGTAGATCTCGAAGAAGCTGCAGAACACGCGAAGATTCAGGCTGACATAGGCAGGCGACTCCACCAGGCTGAATACATCCCTGGTGGCCATGGCGTAGATGCCATCCAGAGAGTTCTGCTGATTTCTCCCGGTGAACTTTCCGCCCATCGTGTGGGTCTTTCCGCTTCCCGTCTGTCCGTAGGCGAAACAGGTGGCCATTCCGCCATCGAAAATGTGACGGATCAGGGGACGGGCGGTGAACTCGTAGACGAAGGCATTGGAGCAATTCTCGTTGAAGGCGTAGTCGAAGCGGAAACTATGGTTCTCTAGGAATTTCACCAGATTGACGTGCTTTCGCGGCTCGTGCACCACCAAGTGGTCCCGCGAATGTATGCTGACCACGTCCAGCTCCTTCTTGTCCGCCAACTCCTTCTGGTTGAGGGGTCTCTTTCTCACACAAACGATAATTTGGTGCTCCTTCGGGGGCTCCTTAGCCGCCGTCTTGGTCTTTTTTTGGGCATTGCTCATCTCCTGACGATGCAGGCGTATCATCCTGGCTATCTCCCAGTTCGGGTTACCCGGATCCTCGTTCATCTGCTGCTCCCTCAGCAGTCGCTCCCGGTTGTAGAGTTCGCGTCTTCGCTCTCGCTGTTGCTGCAACTTGTTAATCTGCAGGACCACCTCGTCCTGTCGATTCGGCGTCATCAACTGCTCCGCTCCCTGGCGCGGCATAACACCTGCCTGGTTCCTGGCACCTACCAGGGCACGGGGTGGTATAGACGCAGTTTGATTGGCCTGCAGCCTTTCGTAACGTGGCGTATCGTAAATCTGCGGATTCATCAGGATCACCAGCTCCAGGGGCAGCTCTTTGCCGCGCACCGTATGCCCCTCGGGCCACTCCACCGTCACAATGTTATTGGTGCCGCCGTCCAGCTTGATAATGCTCCCCAAGTGGACGCGGCCATCGGAGCGCCGGATGAACACCTTCTGGTTGATCGACAGCTGATCCATTCTTATGCTTGCTTCTGGATTTTACTATAAATTTGATGGAATTTACTGCAAATTTTTCGTAAATGTATGTGTTTAATCTAAATTATGTTAGGGCCTATTCCATAGATTTTTAGTTTTACTGCAAAGCCAAAACAGGAGATGCAGCGACAGGCTAAGCAAAGTATGGAATGATCAGGGAATGTTGGAAATATGACAACCCAGTCGAACTTTGTTTTATGTGTGGAATTCTATTTGTACAATGCATTCCCAATTCAGCAAGTGGTAAGCGAGAAATTCAGAGCGCTTCTGTAGCTTTTCACCTAGCAATTTGGCATGAAATTTGTATCTTTTTCAGGACCAAAAGGAAGAACAAAAGAAATTCTGGAAAGGGTTTGAATCTCCAAGCTACTGTTTTCAAGTTCAGTAGTACAAAAACCAAAACTACACTTCTCCGGGGGTTAAAACTGCCCCTTTGACCAGAAATTAAACTATTTCAATTTTTGTTAAACAAAACACTCGTCTATATCCGCCTTTTCCGGCACCCATTCCCAGTGATATCTATTCTAGCGAGGATTGTTTTAGCTATTTGTTCAATTTGAGGGCAAACAACAGGCAGCAACAATAACCGAATCAACAAACAACACCACTAAGGCTCGCTCTCTCTCCCTCGGCGTGTTTCCCATTTGCCAAGTGGGTGGTCATGAAATGAAGCATTCTTTTAGGCGCACAACCAGGGAAGAGAGTGGAACAAGTTGCAGATATACGTTTGCATAAGCCGAGACGTGTGTAACGTACCAAATTGTTATTTATTTTTTGAAGTGCCTGTATCTCTCGCTCTCCAAAGGTGTGTGTGGATCCTGTATATCCTGCCTGTAACCAGTATCGTGTATTTTTGCATGGAGCTGCATAGATACATTGCCCGATTGGGTACGTGCAACTTGTTTCGGTCTTCGTTGGCGTCTTGTTTGCCATTTGTTGTCACATTTTGCCAAATTTACCGTGTAATTATCGGCAAAGGAGAAGGCAGTCTCTTTACTTCCCCTGAAAATGTACAACAAAATGCACTCCTCCCTTTAATAAATGCAACATTATTTAAACAGTTTCATAACAAATATGTTTAGCTTAATGGAAATCTTTATATACAAGAAATTTTATTTATATTTGTCATTGAACCATTTTAAGAGCTTCTTTTCTTGTTTGTGCTGTTAGAACCAATTGGGAATTATAAAGAAAATTGCGTTAATATAAAAATTATGTTTTTAATGTGTAAAAAAGGATTCCTTGCTTATCTTATATATTTGCAATACAAAATTTCTCAAATTTATTGTCATTAACTATTTTTTTCTCTCTGTCCAAGGGGCACACCTGGGCCCCGCCTGATATGCAAATTTCCATAGCTTTTTCTGTTTGCCTGTGTTGTGGGGCTTGGTGAGGCATATTTGTTTAGCCGCAGCCCCAGGACAGTTGGCTATCGTTTCGTTTCGTGGGATTTCCATTTCATTTTTGGAACCGGCACGTAAGCTGGAATATTTGCTGTTTGTGCTGGCCTAAACTGGCAAATCTAAAATGAACTAATAAAGCCATTGAAATGGAAAACAGTTTTACAAAAAGCAACAAAGAAAAGCATATGGGAAAATGGAATTTTAAATAAATCTGAAAAGCCATTGAACTGCATTAACTTTTTTGTGTATATTCCCTGAAGACTGATTTCATGGCTGGGTAATCCCTCATATTATATATTGTTTTGTAGATTTTTGCTGGTTGCTCTCTACCCGCTAAACTGTTTTTCTAGACCAGTTTCAATGATTTTAAAACATAGATATATCACGCACAATAATTGTCATTCGGCAGGGATTAAATGCTATTTGCTAATGTAATCAAATTGGACAATTTCGACAGTTGCACTAATCCGTTTACATAATCCGGATGCAATCAAGCCACCACATGGCATGTTGCCCCTCTGATTACTGCCTTTGTCACTTTGATTTAATTATGCCTGAAAAAAAGTATGCGAAAAATAGGAAATGAAAATGGCAAAGCCGAAAACTAAATGAATTGGATAACCGATTTAATAAATAACAATTTGATTGACTTTCACGCCGAACAAATAAAATAAAGGGAAGTGGCGGTAGTAACAAACAGAACAAACACCTTTATAAACAGGTTTAGTTTAAATATTTCCATAGGCGTTGAATATAGTTGTATTTGGCTTCCTCCTCCGCCGGCTTGGGGCGCGCATCCTCACGAAAGTAATAGTATATATTGCGACATAGGCTTATAAGTTTGTTCTCATCTTGATCCTTGACAACAGCAACATCCTCGTGTTTCATCATAGTAAAAATCAGCCAGCCCAGAAATAATATAACCAGAGGGACCGCCACTAAAAATGGCTTGTACAGCAGACTCTTACTTCTTTCTAGCTCTTGCGGGGGGCCGAAATTGGACATTTTTGGCTTTGATAATACTTTTTGTTCGAATAGTGGTTTTAAAATATTTATTTAAGAATAATTTCTAGACTTGTCGATGTATGCTCGGTCACTGAACTCTGACTGAGATCTGCTTGACAGCTCGACAGCTCCTCCAGTGGTTGCTCCCATTTCCTCAATTTCGATTGGAAAGCACTACACACAGCCTCCTCGAACACAACAATGCTGGGACAATTGAAAGAAACTATCGGACATGGAGGAAAACCCACATAAATTTATACATAGCTGAGCCATGGGGAAAAACAATGAGTTGGAAAGGAGGGCCAGGCCGGCGGCTGGTTTTCCTTTCCATTCATATTCATCCGGATTGAGATCCGGATCCCCCCGGGCTGAAGTGATTTCCGTTGTTTTTTTATGGTGGAGCGGAGCGTTGGTGCATTCAATGGAGTGCACTCTCCGCAAAGAAATACTTGAACTGCAACCCAAGAAAAGACGCACAATACAAATGTCGAGGGGCTTTGTTTGAACATCGAGTGGGACTCCGTCGTCCCGGCAAATACCATATTTATATGTCCCTTTAACCCAAGACAAAGCCCTGTGTCCCAGTGAGAAAACAAATTGCTGTGCTGTAAGGTTTGATTTTAGCTCGGAATCTGGATTTATTTAAATCTCATTATGCATTTAAAGAGGAACGTGTTTCCAGGGAGAAGTCATTGTTATTCTGGGATCAATAAGAGTAGGGGCTCCTTTAGAGCTGGAACGTGTGCATCGGGTGGAAGCTGCAGGATGAAGTCATTATTATTCAAGGATCACTTGAAGATATTTCCCAGAGCTAGCTTACATGTCATCGCGGGCCTTAATGAGGGTTTCCACCAAACGGCTTAAAGGAGAATCCCCGATGCAGATCTTGTACACAGTGGTAAACAACGGGAATCTATCAAGAAAATGAATAAGCATTAAAAAGAAAGAATTCATAAATTGTTCTGAACTTTACTTATCCTCCAAACCCTTTTTCTTGAGCATATAATGCACTAGTTCAGCTGTCACTGGGCCCAGTGGCTCATGTCCTGGTATAAGGATATGCTCCAGCTCACTCAGCGGCTTGCCGGTCTTTACAAAAGCCTCGGCCAGCTTGCGGTTGCGATTGGCTATAAAAAAATTGATAATACCATATAGGTTCTTTTGACTCCTTACCATAACAACTGGTAACCAAATCGGATATGCCGCAGGACTCGAAAAAAGTGCCCATGCGGCAGCCGGGATAAAAAACATCAACGAATTGCAACATTTCCAGAAATCCCCTCCTAATAATCCCAGCCTTTGTGTTCTCATTCAGCTCCATGCCATCCGAACAGCCAGCAGCAAAGGCAATGATGTTCTGTAAAAAAATAAAATTATATATTTTTCATATATTTTGTGCTGTTCCCACCCTCAAAGTGGAGCAGATCTCCACACAATCGGCATCCTCGGTGACCACCACCCGAAAAGTGGGGGACCTAAAAATGTCATGCAGCACTCGGTAGTACTTCTGATCGCGACAGCCCACAGTTCCTTCGGCAAAGTGATCGTTGGCTATCTCAAAGGCCAGATTACAGCCCACCAAAACAGAGCAGGGAATCTATGGGAAGGTAACGAACAATATTATATAAAAAGTTAAGGAAAAATACACAAAGTTTCTATTAGAAATCCAGTAAACCTGTTTTAAATTACCTTCAACTGCCTCATTATAATTTGGGATATCAAAACGAATTGCCCATCATCCCCACGCTCGAAACCCTTGATTAGGGAGACGGCATGAGCCGTGGGCTTGACTTTGCCCAATAGGGTTTTGCAGCAGCTACTGACAAAGGTCGGCGGAATAGCAAATATTATAATATCTGCATCCCTAGCCGTGGCCACAATATCGTCGACAGCCACCTGTTACAAAGAATATATATTTACTGTAATGAAATTTCTGGTACCCACAATATTTGGCGGCAGTTCAAAGTTTGGCATATACTTGGCATTAATGTGCGTAGTATTTATTATGTCGGTGAGCTTGCGACCATCCACAATTTCCTCGTAAACATACATCGGAACCTTTTCATCAAGGGTCAGCGAGTTGATAACATTTCTTCCCACATTGCGGGCTATAGTCGTGGCCCAGTTGCCCGATCCTATAATGCAAATCATTATCTTGTCCATCTTCTTGAAAGTAAATAAAAGTAAATTCTTTAAAATTGTCTAATTTTTGTACTGTGTGTAATTGTAGTGACACTAAAAACTCAGATGATTCAGAATTTAAATAACTTCATCTGCAGTTCAATATATATCTTATCACGCTGCTGTTCTCAAGTTTTTAAAAACCCATCAAGACAATTTTCTCATTAAACGGCAGAGTAATGTTGATTCTCCGTATTAACTCCCTTGTTAACCCAAAAAAAAATATCAATAAATATATTAAAGCCTTCCTTCCACTGCGCAAATACACAATCAGATATTAATATATATACGAATATTTACAAGCACATAAGTTCCGGGTACACATACGTATATTGATTGAGTGCTGGGCAAACAATTCATCAGTGTATCGGGGTGGGATAAAAATTACGTATACGTCACGTTCGCCAAACTGGCAGGGCAAATAATTAACTGTGGCAACAGTTTTTCCTGTCTTGGCTGGGACTGAGCCACTCTGCCGGTGGAATTCATTCATTCATGGTTATTTTTTTTTTACATATAAAATTAAGCTGACGCGGTGGAAAATATTTCATAATTCTTGTATTTATTTTTTAATTACGGCAGCTGGGAAAAGGAAAAGCGGCGGCGGCTGCGTTGGTTATTTAAATAAAATATATCAAATTGCGAGAGTTAAAAGGCAAAGGGGCGAAAGCCAAAGTGAAAGTTCCAGCTCGAACGCCGTCGAAATCAATGTGCAAGAAAGTAAACACAGTGGCCCGTCCGCCAAGTACAATCCAATCCAATCCCGACCAGGACTCCGGCTGCAGAGCTGCGCCGCCATCCACTCGACTATGAAATCAAAATGGATGATGGGCGAAATGAAAATGGAATTTTTAATGAGTTGCTGCTGCTGCTGCCGAGGAGGCAAAGGCCAAACGAGAGCTCTGGTTGCCTTGCCGAGAACAATGGCGATGAGACAAAACGCTGGCAATGAAAGGGGACAGGAAGGGGGTAGGCAAGGGGTTTTTGGGGGGCGAGAAGAGGACCCAAGGCCGCAGCTGCAGTCAAGTGGGAAGTCCGTCTGTCCGGAGCCACAAAATTGCTGGTCAACACTTTAAGGACATTGCAATGCCGAGAGAAATGCTCTTGGCATCGAGTTGACATCAACTTGAATTTTTCCAATATTTATTTAATATGAAACCTCACAGTTTGATACATAATGGGTATTATTTAGGGTTTAATAAATCTATTAATGATTTCTCAAAACCAATTACATTATTTACGCCTTAAAGAGCCCATTAAAATCATAGTTTTGTCAACGCAAAATTTAATACTTTGAGGCTCTCACACTCGACTGGTTTTTGCTTAAACAAATTAAGGAGCTCAAGTCTCAAATATGTGTGTGCATTAGCAATTCACAGACAAGCAAAAATGTGAGAGAGAATAAATCTAGCTAAAGTCTCCCAGGTAGCCCCATGAAACACTTGCAAAGTATTCTCAACATAATTCGTTTTTTATTCCGTTTTGGGACTGTATAAATTATTCGCACACTCACATGTACTTGGGCTCCGCTCGCTCGTCCTACATTAATTTCAGTTTTTATTATTTTATTCTCTCAGTTTTTTCTTTTTGTTTCAACCATAAAGTAAACTTAACTTGGGCAGCTTGGACTGGGAACTGGGAACTCGTCTCTGGGATACACGCACATAAAGTTTTACCACGATTTTTATGCTTTTCACCTTACACAGACACACAAGACTAACATCTGGGACGAGAGACAGTTACTCATATGATTTTGTGACTACAAAGTTGAATCGTAAATAAAATTATTCCATGTTTTTCGCTGGATGCAACGTGATTTCGAGTGCCCAAGTGTGGGAGTCGGGAATTGTAACTAAACTTTCACTTTCACTTTCGTTTTGCTCCAAACTTTTGCGGAAGAAGAACTTTGCAATCTTGAGATATAAACTAATTAGCAAGATGTGTGTGCCAAACACACAACACACACGCGCTTTTGTGTTGAAAACTGTGTACATTTCCCACAAAATCGATGGAGAAAATTCTTGCCAAAGGAAATATATTTATTTGTGGATTTGTTTTAAAATTCTTGTAGGATTTGTTGGGTATTTCTTATAGTTTATTGTCAACAGAGCTTGCTCCTCCTCTAAACTTATCTTTAAATATATCAGATTTGCTTGCCTTTTTTCCCATAATTAACTGAACTTTTAAAAATCTTTTGATATGATTTTTAAGACAACATTTCATAGCCTTGGCCAGCACTTAAGTTGGCTTTTATTTTGGCCATTTTCCTTGTCATTAGATAGCGTTTTTCTGCCGCTTTAAAGGGCATTAAATTACGCGCCAAGAAAAGTTTTGGCCTGTGTGTGTGGCCCCAAAAGTTGAGCTGGATTCGAGTAGAAATCAGATACAGATACTCACTTCCCTCGCCCTTAAGATGGCGGATACAAAGCGAAAGCGCCGCAGTCTTAGGATTGCGTGCGAAATGCAAGCAAAGTTGGCTTGGATGGAAAATACGAGAGGGAAAAACTATGCAAACTGCCCGGGACTAGAATGAAATCGAGATAAACTACTCACAATATTTACTTTTAATTGGAGAAGTTCAAAGAATAAACAAATATCAAGGGATTGGGGGGGTAGATGCGGCATTCAACTTCTTTTTTGTTTCTTCACGCTTTTACCAGCTTTTCTTTTTGTACACATTTGATGGCTTAAATGGAACGAACACATGGTCTGTTACACTAAGACTAGCTAAGGAACTCATTTTAACTATTTTTATTATCCAAATTTAAACCAAGCTTGGTTTTTAGATAATAAATTCAGACCTGCAGGAATGGTAAGTTAAGTATTCAAAGGCTTATTAATTACACTTTCATTATATTTAGAATTATATTATCTTCTTGGTAATTCCAGTACTTTCTCTTACAGTGTAGACCAGCGCCTGAGCTAGGGCTTTAATCCCGCCGATTCGAGTTCATTAAGCTCCTTAAATGCGGCCCAAAGTCGAATTAATATTCCAAACAACATTTGCCGCATTCTGTGACCTCTCTCTCTCACTCTTCTGAGTGTGTTGCCATTTCATTTGCTCTCATTTGACAGACCCCGGCGGAAAGTTGAGCCGAAAAGTTCAAAGCAGGCACAAGTCAGGCAGGTCAGGTCAGGGGCAGAGAGGTATCGTCTGCAGTTGGCTTTTAATGTTCTCTTTTGCGTTTCGCTTCGCTTTTCTTTTCATTTAATTTTGTTATTTCTTTTTTTTTTGCCTAAATGGTAATTAAAATATGCCCAGATGGTGTCTGGCAGCTGTCCATCAGGAGGAGGAGAGGTATCTGGGGGGAGTCCGAGTGGCCACCGAAGGTCAATTGCAATCAGTGAGTTCTTACTCTCCTTGGGCGCTAAGCAAACACGGTCAAAGTGCTACTTTTTCAGCTCTGCTTTGATTTTCCAAAGCTGCGACGACACTACACATTTTAATTGGATGCGGTTGAAGGCCTTTAAAGAATTTCTCATGAGATCTCTTGACATTTTTATCTGCATTTTAAATACCAGGCTTTGCAATTTATTTCATATTTTCTTGGTCTTAAAATTTCTCAAATATGTATAGATTATTTCTCTGTACATTCTTTCTTTAATTCCTAATTGTTGTGTTCTTTATCCTTGACAGTTTCTCAACCGCAACAAAACTTACTTTCCCCTTAGCCCTGTGCCTTCCACATTTCCCGCCAGCCATTTAGCGAACTTTGCCGCCATCTTTCATTCATAATTTGCTGGTCCCCCCTTTTCCTCTTTTTTTTTAGCTGCACACACACACATGAAGGGGGAAGAGAACAGGAAAAAGGGAAAAGCATCAGACGCAGCTGGGCGACAAGGAAAACTGTGTCAACGCAGCCATTTGGCAGCCAAAAACTCCCCTCAGCCGCCGCCGTCGACGCTGCTGCTTTTTCCACTTTGCTGTTTTCCCTGTGTCGTGTCTCTCCAGTTTTCCGCCACGTTGATGGCGACATAAATAGCACCGCTTGGTTGATGGCTTAGTCCCGCTTACCCCTCGGAAAATTCCCCATTTTCCCCCGCCGCCAGTCGCCATTTCCCAGGTAACAGCCGCCGCCAGTCGCTCATAAATGTAAACTTTTTCGGCTAGTTACATGTAATTATGCCATTTTACTGGTGGAAAAGAGGAGAGGACTTTTCCGCTCCGCAGGCGGGATGAAAATCATCCTGCCAGAGGGACTGGGACTCCTGATGCCTTTTCACTTGATTGCCAATTTAATCGGCTCGCAATTTTCCGCCTTGGCGCCATGATTAGGGGGGGAGGGGCGTGGCCGTGTCTAATTTGTGTATCAGTGCAAAAAAGAGAGTTTAGATCGGATCCCTGAAAGCGGATTTCTCGACGCGACGCAACACACTATACATGGGGCGGGTAGCCCCCGTAGTATGTTTTATGTTTATTTATTTTCACCCGGACACACACACTGGAACACACATAATTCAAATCGACGGGATGAGGCACACATTTGCCAGAGCAGGAGCCGCCTCAATAATCGACCTGACCTTTGTGAGCAGCGCAATTTCCCAGGACGCCAGTTGGGGGGTCAGCGACGCTTACACCGGGAGCGACCACGAGGCGATCCTATGCACCGTGGGTGCGCCGGAGGGGACCACCCGCACGCGGCTGCGGCCCAGGAAAGCCTACCGGCCGGACACGCTGCGCACCCAGGCATTCGCCAACGCGCTGGACGGCATGTCAGCCGAGGCGCTGGGTGAAGCCAACGAGGCTGCAAACCAGATCGCAGCAGCCCTGGAGCACGCCTGCGACCAGAGCATGCGGCTGAGAGGGACATGTCGGAGGAATCAAAGGCCAACATTCTGGTGGAGCGAAGAGATAGCCGATCTCCGGGCAAAGTGCCTCCATGCTCGGAGGCAAATGACCCGGGCACGTGGCTCCTCTCGACTGGTCGAGTGCTGCGAAGCCTACAAGTCGGCCAGGAGGGCCCTAAAACTGGCCATAAGAGAAGCAAAGAGAGAGTGCTTTCTGCGGCTCTGCGACGAGGCGGAAAACGACCCCTGGGGCGGTGCCTACAGATTGGTGGTCAAGGGGCTAAAAGCAGGCAGCACGGCTCCTTCGGACCCGGAAGCCCTGGACTCCATAGTGCAGGCACTGTTCCCGAGGGGAGCCCCGGTGGTGATGACGCAGCCCAGTGCGGAGCGCCACCCCATCGTCGACTGTGAGGTCTCCGAGGACGAGGTGATCCGGACGGGAAGGAGCGTTCGCACCAAAAAGGCGCCTGGGCCGGACGCAGTACCCAACAGGGCCCTGAAGTTGGCTATCGCGCTTCACCCAAAGGAGTTCGCCACCCTATACGCCAGATGCCTCCAGGAGGGTACTTTTCCGGAGAGATGGAAGAGGCAAAAGCTCCTGCTGCTGGCTAAGCCAGGCAAACCGCCTGGGGAGCCATCCTCCTACAGGCCTATCTGCCTTACCGACACCACTGGCAAGGTGTTCGAGAAGGTGATAGCAGCAAGGCTGAATGCCGCCATCGAGAGGGCAGGGGGTCTCTCTCCTAGCCAGTTTGGCTTTAGAAAGGGGAGATCAACGCTGGACGCGATCGAGATGGTGAAGCAGATAGCGGAAACGGCGATCACAGGAACAAGGTGGAAAGGCGGCTCCAAAATTACTGCTTAGTAGTCACGCTGGACGTAAGGAACGCCTTCAACACTGCCGACTGGAACCGGACGCTGGAGTCCCTCGCTGCGCTGAACATCCCAGGGTACCTACTGGAGATAGCTAGGAGCTATTTCAGCCAGAGGGTGCTCATTGTAGACACGGATGTGGGTTCCAGAGTATACGAAGTCTCAGCCGGAGTCCCTCAGGGCTCCGTGTTGGGACCCCTGCTCTGGAATACCATGTACGATGGGGTTCTACGACTCCCGATGCCCAGCGACACCACTACCGTAGGCTTCGCCGACGACGTAGCGGTGGTGGTAGTTGCGAAGGAGCGCACGGCTGCAGAGAGCAAGGCGAATGCTGCGATCAAGGCGATCGAATCGTGGCTCTCGAGCGCTGGTCTGGAGCTAGCGGCGCACAAGACGGAGGCGGTCCTCATTTCGAGCCGGAAAAAGGTGGAAACGGCCGAGATCCAGGTTGGCGGAGCCGTGATCGAGTCGCAGAGGGCTGTGAAGTACCTTGGAGTTCTCCTCGACACCAGGCTTTGCTTCAAGGAGCATCTCCAGTACGCCCAGAAGAAGGCCAGTGGGACAGCAGGAGCACTCGCGCGGATACTGCTAAATACACGAGGACCCAAGCAGAATGCCAGAAGGCTGCTGGTAAGCGTCGTCACCTCTCAACTGCTCTATGCGGCGCCGGTGTGGGCCGAGGCGGCGAAGAAGAAGTCCTTCATGCGGGGAGTCGAGTCAACTTATAGACTCTGTGCCATCCGAGTGGCGAGCGCCTTCCGTACGATTTCGGACGACGCGGTACTGGTGCTAGCCGGTCTAGTCCCACTGAAGGAGTTGGTCAGCGAGAAGTCGGACATTCGCGCTGCGCTGCACAGCCAACAAGGACCTGAAAGAGCCCCGACTGCCGAGCTGAAAAGCGCGGCCAGGGCAAGGAGCTATGTGAGCTGGCAGGCCAGGTGGGATGCCTCGCCCAAGGGACGGTGGACGCATAGGCTCATCCCCAACATCGAGGCCTGGATGGAGCGGAAGCACGGGGAGGTAGACTTTTACCTAACCCAGGTGCTGAGCGGGCATGGCTGCTTCCGCAGCTACTTGAAAAGGTTCGGCCATGACACGGAGGATGGATGCCCGGAGTGCGGATCCGGGATAATCGAGGATGCGGGACACGTATTCTTCGAATGCCGCCGATTCGACGAGGAGAGGGACGAGCTGGAGGCGGTAGCGGGGTCAGCGATCAGGGTAGACACTCTGGTGCCGTTGATGCTGTCGAACCAAAGGACGTGGGATGCGGTGGCGGAATTCGCAGCTAAGCTGATGAAATCCCTCAGGTCGCTGGAGAGAGTACGAAACGAGCGGACTGGCTGAGCGGCCTTCTATTGTGCGAAGCATTGCTTTGCGGCCGTACCGCACAATGCGGGCCCTTGGCCCCGTCAATACCTAGTTTGTTTGTTGTATAGTATTTGTTAAGTGTAGTTAATAAATAATAAACGTATATAAAAAAAACATAATTCAAATACGTGACATGCATATGTACACTGACTGCAGTTAATCTTCGCTTAAGCCCTCTGCGCCTGTCAATTTTCCATGTGGCCAAGGGTGAGTCTTTTTTTTTTGCGCTCTTCTAACAACAAAAGTGTATTTTGTAAAATTCTGCGACACAAACAGGAGAATTTGTTGGTCACTCACTGTATTTTAACCTTTACAGTGGAATTTTATATATGAAAATTCATTAAATAAATGATAAGTCAAGGTGTATTCTCATGGCAATTTAGAGAACTTTTTTATATGCATTTTATTATTATTTTAATATTTTTAATACATTTTGTATCTTAATACCTCTAAAAAATATTCACACCTTCTGGGCATAAACAATAAAAATGCGTGTAATTTTGTTTAATCAAAGAATGCTCTCATTTTCAGTGATGAAAAGGACAAAGGATGTCGCCAAACAAAGCAAAAAAGGAGAGTAAGGTATTGCTCTTTCTGTGCTTTTATGCTTTTGGAGAGCCTTGATGAGGGTATAGTGATTTTCTTTAGGGGCTTGGCAAAAAATAAATTATTAATATTAATATCATAAATATAAATATTAATGAACAATTAATCAATGCGTATTCGAGACTGTTATGTGCAGCAAAAGAACTGTTAAGCTTAATTTAACAAAGCTAAACTTTATCAAAATTTATTTAGTAGTGAAACCTTGACTAAATAGTTTTCAAAGAGTATATAAACTTCGACTTGTTGGCTTTTATTTTTTTTTTTTACACCCACAATGGTGCAACCCATATGGGTGTGCGCATCCCGTGTTTGTGCAGCACCACACTTGCATGTTTGCTTAGTTCACATGAAGTCAGTTGTTAAATTGTTGGTGGCGTCTCTGAGGCTTTCATACCATCCTCGCCTGTGTGTGTGTTGTGTGTGCTTCCCTTTTTCCAGGTGGTTCCGGCGGTTTTCTGGCTTTATTCTGTGAGGTTTTCATTTTTTGTGTTCGCCGCAGTTCCTGCTGCTTTTGTTCTTGGCTTCTGCAAATAGACTTTAAATATTTTGTGCACTGAATTTATCTCCCTGCCAGTGTGTGGGCGTCCCAACACATTCACAGCCAGGTGTAAAAGATTTATGACAAACGAAGGTGGGTCGGAAGGGGAAATGTAAATATGTTTCTTTTGCTTTTCCGATTTATACTTTCGGCTGTCAAATAAAGGGTCATTCATTGGCTATTTTCGGCACGTCTTTGTCGGGGCTAAGGCGCGTGTTTGCCATCTTTTTCCTAATTTTTTATTTTGACATGATCCCATAAACGTTTAATAAAACATAATATGCGTACACACAAGACATTCTGTGGTCAAAACTCGATACGCTTGTGTGAGCAATCGAAATTGAGGGAATTTCAAAGCATGCTTTTTGGGGCTGCATAGAGTTTTATTTTGCATTTGTGTGGGTGTTAGTGGGCGTTAGTGGGCGTGGATAAATTCCAAATAAATCTTAATCTGCATAAAACATATAACCAAATTTGATCTTATACGATTTTGGGTTATTTTCTCTTTATTTGAAATATATTTATGTGTTTAATTTACGCGTTGTGCTTGGGAAAACTACAAAATACGATTTAGTACAACGCGATTTGCTGGGGAATTTGATTAAACTTTTTGCATATTTCACCGGTGAGCAAACCGGGAGAAATGTATGTACCTCTATATAGAAAACTTGAGCAATTTTAACTTCTTTCGCTTTCTGTTTCTCTTGTTCTCTTTTTTGTTTCTGTTAAATATATGTATGGCTATGAATTTATAACGGAAAGTTTTGCATTTTGCAAATCATTTTTAACACCTGCGGCAGGGTTAAAGTTCAGTCAGCGTAAAAACTTTGCAAATTAGAAGAGGTCCTGCGCTGTGCTGCTCCCTCAGCTCTTCTCCTGTTCATATATTTATTTTTCGCTCAGCGGAGATTTCATTTAAAATGAGTTAACCTGTTAATGGTGCAATGATGAAGAATGAAAGCAACAAAAAGGAAAAATTTACAATATTCCAGGCATGAATCGTAAATTTGTTTGCTGTCAGAGAAGAAGCCAAGAATGTAAGAAAATGGGGAGAACAATGCGTGCTTTCACATATATATATTTAGTTTGGGGTTAAATCGGGCAAATCGGCTGAACTGCTGACCATAAGCAAACAACGAAACTGAAGATTTATGGCCGACTAATCGACACAGGCAATCCCATAAATCTAGCAGCAGTTCGAATGTCAAATGGCCAAAAGGCCGGCGCCAGCGAGGTGAGTTTCCCTTTCGGCCAAGAGCCAAGGCAAATTAAAGTTCAGGTCCAATAAATGTTAATCGTTTCCTCTTTGTCTTTCTCCCTCCAGCAGTCTGGTTTTAACCTTGTTTTGGGTTAGCTTTTGAAACTAATTTGTTAAGTGAGAAGCATATTGCATAGTTTATAAAGAGGTGCTTAAACAGGGATAATTTCAATCTTGATAACAATTCTTTGGTGTTTTTTTAAGCACCTTATGTTGGTTTTCATATTTCTTATTTTCTATTTAGTGCCCAAAACCAGATGAAACTGCAGCAAGACGATAAAGAAGCTAAGTATTAATTCCATCATCTGGAGCCAAGTCACTTGATTGACCGTAAAGAGTCCACAAATCTTCAAGTCAAGCTTCATGGTGCTTTCGTATATGATATAGGCACTTGTCTAGAAGTAAGACACATTTTAAGCAGAATATTATTTCATTTTGAATAAGACATTACCTCCTTGGACATAGTGTCCTCTTCGGTGACCAAGTCTCTACGTTTACTCTGATATTCAGTCGCTAGGCCCACTATATAGTCGATCAGAAAGGAGCCAAATGTACGCATTGCAAAGAAGATGACCCAGAGGTACAGAAAAATACTGGGAGTAGTGCCGTCTTTCCAGAAAAGAATGCCCAAGAAACTATTAACTACGGAAACGATAAAGTAGTTGAATCGACCAGCCAGCAGCTGAGGGCCAAAGAAATCATGTATCCGTTTGGCTGCTCGGCTAAGCTTGAAGTGCAATGCCCACAGACGTGAAAGTTCCTTCTTCTTAGACTCTGAGTGAGGAATGAGCTCCTTTATGCGCTGATTGATGAAATCATAGCCTCGGGCAATGTGCCAGAATGCTAGAAAGTATAGGAATACGTTGGCCACTATCAAGTTCGAACCGATGTTCACTATTAACGATGAAATGCGCGGCTTGAAACAAAATTCCAGAGGCATTCCGTAGATGAAACTTGACATCAAATGACTCAGCGCAGTGTACACAACTCCAGCAATCTTCGAGTAGAGCAGTCCCCAAAGTTTTGAGCTCGTTTTCTTTCCCGATCTAGCCATCTCACGATTCACCTGAGTGATTAACTTGTGCATGTCCAAGATAATCCTATCCCGCTGGCCACGCAAGGCCATTGTGTACACGATTACGACATAGTTGATCGAATTCAAGACATATGGGGCTATTTTTATGAAGCGCGGAAGTAGGGGTAATGCCGAAAGGTAGTTGGCTACTCCCCAGAGGCAATAGGGTAGCGCTGTCAAAAGGCCAAGGTTTACAATCCAAGCATAAGTCTTCGTTAGCCTAGTCTGTAGGAACCTGCCGTTTACAAGTCTATAGGAGGTCAGGCCCAAGACCAGGATGTATCCGTGAAAAATAGCGAATAATTTCTGCATATTTCAAACCGATTTCAAGGAGGGCTGCGTTGCAACTGAAATTGACTTCTCTAAAACTGACTTTTTACTTAATATCCTTACTTTCTTATCGAAGATGTAAAGTCTGTTAAGTTGAGATGACACAATCCTAGCCAGATCTTGAAAAGTCTTAACATTTGGGTTTTATCTGTTAATATTCTAAAGTGGACTTGCTATAAATAGCAGAACTCTGAAGAGGGTGAAACTACATTAATTAAAAATCTAGAATAAATAATTATCAATTAATTTAACAACCAAAGATGTTAATTTTATTTCAACAAGGTAATTAGGCAACGTTTTTCCAATTCAAAGACGTAACCATTCCCTCTCGATCGTATTTCTTCACTTACCTTAACTGCTTCGGTGCGGTGCAGGTGCCACTGATGGCCAAATGTTGTTGAATTTATGGCCAATAAATTAAAAAACTTTTACACCGCCTCGCTGGTAACACGAAAGTGTGTGTGCACCTGGAAAGACATTTTGGCAAAAACATTAATTGAAAAAAACCCCCGACTGGGTACCAAGTGTGGCTGAACATATCAAAGGCAATTAGGGATGCCATTAACAACGGCCAAATGGCTAAGACACCGCCCAGCCACTACCGCTCATCTCATTATTTAGTTAATTATATGTTTGTGTGCCGGCAATTACAACTCAGATTTCATTGTTGGCCAAAAACCATTTTGTGGCCTACACTCGGGGTTGCCGGAGGCTGATGATGACGGGGTGGCCCTGGCCTCACCGCAAACTTCTAATTAATTTGAAAGGAAACATTTGAGCGGCTTGTGTTGTGGTCACCTTGTGTCCTTGTGTGCCACATAAAAGGGGTCCTGTTTGGACATATGCGAAGCTCTGCTCATCAGCAGACAGGACATTAAATAAACCAATCCAAGCAACTTAATAAAGGTTTCAATTTTTATTACTCTGCCTTGGCAAATCCCCCCTCGAAAATCTGTCAACTATCTTGGCCAGCAGCTGCTCTTAACACATTTAATTAAGCAGCGGAAAAAGCCGAAGCGCAAATTTTCGCGGCCCAAGAACCGCACACAATGTGCATTAAAAGCGGACTGAAATTGAAATGCAACTGTTATTTTTAGGAATCCATTTCGGTTTGGCTGAAGCATTTCGATGATGGCCGAAACCCCAGCTAAAAACCCTGGCCAAAATGTTTGCAAAGCGGCTTGACAGCGAGCGAGGAAATAAAAATAAAAATAACAAATGGCAAAGTTGTTTTTAGTTTGACAAAAATTTCGCTGAAAAAGTTTTTAATAAGCTTAAATTAGACAGTTGTATTTTTTTTGCGATTTTATTTCATTTCGAGCTGTCCCTGTCTTTAGCCTTGATGAGGGCTTTATACAAGTTTGAGCCGCGGCTGAAATTCGGGCTTAAACAGAGCGGAAGCTAGCTGCAGGACTCTAGAGGATTATTGTTTGAAAAAATTTGGTTTCAGGTTAATTATACGGACTTTAACTAGCTTGTGATGTGAATTACTGCTTATTATTTACCAAGTAATATCCTTTAAAGACCTCTGACAACTTTAAGACCAAAGACCACCTGCCTGGCAGCCCATGGAGCCATGGGGTTCATTATAATAATGCCACTGAAACGAACATGTCAAGAGACCGGACCAGCCGACCTGACATGTTGGCCACAAATTAAACGAAATTCGTGTGCCAGAGACGACGATAGAAAAGGTCAGGCGGGTCAGGCAGGGGGTGTAGAATCAACATAACATAAGTAATTAACCAAGTGATAAAGAGCCTGGCCCCGTGGCAATACAAGTTCAGCATTCAAGACGACGACGATGACGACGACGACGACGACTACGACGTTGCCTCGTCATTAGCGGCCAAAAATGTTGCATTTAGTTGTGGTCCTCATGAATATGGTTAATTTCAGTCGTATATATTTTGTGTATGTGTGTTTGGGGGTCTGGGAAGTATGTATTTGTCCCCGGGCGAAGATGACAGCGCCTGACCAAGACACATTTTTCGTTTGTCCTCTAATTGCATATCTGAGGATGCTGATTATTATGGAGATGATGATGAGCCAGTCGCACAATTACCAGCCTCCCCCGCTGTGCGATCCTCTGTCTTGATGTCGTGGCCAGAAGAGGGACAAGTCGGCCCTGGCCTTTGCCGGGCTTTAGTGTCTAATTAAAAGCAACAGCAACTGGCCTTAATTTATGCCCGTTGAGGGACAGGCTTCCCCGGGAAAATCCCACCTCGCATTCGGTATATTTGAATAGCGGATGCTTAATGTTTTTGCTTTTTAAAAAAGTTTACATCATAAATTGCACACTTGGACCATAATTCGCAGCTGGTCCCACCAGAAGGTAAAGGTGTTGCTTTAGAAGATTTATTTTCAGTTGAATTTCAAGCCTCAATCGTAGCAATCCCTGACTTATAGGTTGACCTACCTTCCCTTCAAAATCCATCATAACAAATTCTCAGTCCTAGTCGAACGAACACGGAGAGTTTCATATACAATTATCGAGTCGAAATTTCTAGTTTAGTAAAAGTATTATTTCCCTTTGATCAAAATTAAATAAGTGCACCATGGATCAAGACTATAGTGGTGAAGATCCCACTAGGGCACCGCCAATAGGCCAAGTTAACCCGAGCTACAACTTGAACAATGAGCGTTTAGACTGCGAGCGCATTGGTAATCTCACAAGCTATAAATTGAAGCCTTAAATTAATTTTCATTTCTTAAAAACAAAACAGAGGATATGACCACAGTGTATGACTTCATAGATAGGCCCTCATTCGTCACAGTCCTTCTGCGATTCTTTGGTAATATGTTTGGTGAGTTGGCGGGAAGCATTCTCGAGGGACAGCCTTAAACTAATGTTTACCTGCTTCATCCCCAGTCGACGTATTTCGGGCGATCTTTGACTGAAGTTCGCTTCTACTTGTAAATGCGAGTGTTTTTTGAGATCATGTGTGGCCCCCGTTGTGAGAATAAAGAGTCTGTAAGAAGAGCAATTCTTTGGAATGTTTTTTATTATTCTTAGATTCTGTGGTTTCTATCTGCAGTAGATTTCATCGAATACGGGAATGTGGCAATAGCAGGAGCAGTTATCGTACTCCTTAGCGAATTCCGAAATTTCTATGAGAAAGTTCTCTAGGTTCTCGGGATTTCTAAACACATTCTTGTCCACATTCAACTGGTTTTGAACCAGAAACTTCCAGCGTCGCATGCTGGCAATGACATCGCCACAGAAATCGCGCTTGTTATTCTCCGCCGACTTTTTGATGTTTGCCAGGAGTTTCTTATTTTTTCCTTTAAAAGGGGGAAAATTAGTAGAGAACAGGGAATGCTCTTTCCCCACTCACTGTGCTTCCATCGCTGCTGCTGCAAGGCAGCATTTGCCTTCTTCTGCGCCGCATCGTACATCTCAATGATCTTGTACATGTGCCTGTCCATTTCCTTGCACATTCTTAGGTTATCGTAGCAGTGGGCCTTGCACTGGCTCCAGTACTGGGTTTTGCTTTGTGGCACATTGCATCGGCACTTGCATTTCGTTGGGATGTTCTCTTCAGCTTTCTGGTCGGGAATTTGTGACTTTACACGGCCATTGTGAAACCGGAAGTGGAGGCTAGCCAGCAGTTTCTCTACACGGGACAAGCAGCTTCGAGAAAGAAGAATCTTGCAAGACAAAATATAAATCAAATGATTAAGGAGACTCACTTGGAGTTCCTCAGAGAGTACACCCCGGGTATGGCGTGGGTTCTCAGCAGATGGTGCAGCTTAAAGGCCACACAGTTGAGCAGATCCTCGGCGGCACAGATCTGCATCCGAAGCAGCCGATCGTTATCGTGCACTGTCTGCCGTATCCGCCAGCCGCGGAACAGGGCCTGGATCTTGGTGGCCGCTTGGTTGTAGTAGCGCTCCAGCCTACCCTGCAGCATGTTCTCCACGAACCTGAAGTGATTGTTTCGCACCGAGAATCCACGCCACCAGCGTTGTATGGTGACGGCGGCCTTGGTTCTGTTGGCGAACTTGGTACGATAGTAGAATCTCCGCCAGCTGCGTTGGATGGTGCGGGCAGCCCTGAAGTGTTTGTAGTCCAGCAGGAGCAGGGATGTCCTGGGGAAGAATATTTAGAAAATTAAAAATATATATATTTCCCACTTTTAAGAGCTTATCCTCATACCGTGACAAATTTTGAAGCGTCTCTTGGGAACTTGAATTTTCAGAACCGCAGGTGTCCTCCAAGCTCTGTGTTGATTCACTTTTGAAAATGATTTCCCAATTTAATGTTATATTTTCTAAGATTTTCCAAACTTACGTAGAACTATTGATGATGGCCAGCATCGTGCTCTGCCTTGGTGCTTTCCGCTCTTCGCCGGTAATCATTTTACGCTAATTTCTAATTTATTTTTTAATAAATTAACTTAAACTGTGTATTGTGTGTTTGGTGTTTGTGTGTTTTGCTTTGAACCAAGTGTTGTTTGTGACTGACATCTCGATGGCTTATCGATGTAACGGAGCGGAGATTTCCGTCTAGCTGCTGGCTATAATTTATGGCCCCAACGATTATTTCCGCATAAATCTTTTGGGGTTTGCGGTGGGTCCTATCCTATGCTGGTGTCCTGGTGTCCTGGTCTCCATTCAGGCGACATATATTTTATTTCGCCTGTGTATCAACATGTTTCCCGCTTATCGCGTCAGGGGTAAGCAAATTTATGTGTCCTTGCCTTGCCTCCTACGAGCTTTATTCATTTCCCGACCGCCCCGCCATAAATATTCCCCCGAGAGACTTTCGCTTTTCGGAGGCTGTGCATTTAATTGAATTGTATGGGGCTGTGCGGGGGCTGTGGTGACCCATATTTGCCGTGCTTTGCCCCCGAAACTGCATTCTCCTCCGGCTTTGGCTTCTCCTCTAATTGTGCTCGAATGCTGACAAATGGCCGAGGTCAAGTTGCCATAAATTCGGGCCACCAAATGCCATTAGGCGAAGGAGTCCTGTCCTGCCACTTTAAATGAAAATCGATACAGAGCCGCAACGCTTTTGCCTGCTCATTATGCGCCACAAATGAACCTCACACACACGCACACACAATAGCAAACAAACGGGGCGGAAATGAAACGGAAATTCTCATTTATGGCGCCCTTGACGCCATTTCCCATCCAGCATCTCCCATTTCCAGTTGGCCATTCGCTCGCTCGGTCGTCCTATCTATTTGGCCCTGACAAGTTGGCACTGCTTCTCGCTGATTTCTGATGCAGATTGAGATTGCACAGGGCCTGATTGCTGCAGCAGCAGCAGCAGCAGCCTCCATGAGATTTATGGTCCGTACCCCCCGAAGCTGACCCAGTAACTGATATCAGAAACTAGACCAGAAAGGGAAAGGGATTTGTTGTCCAGAGTAAAAAAAGAGAAGGTGGAATTTATAATAATGGAAGTCTTTAAAATCTAATGAACAAGATGAAAAATATCGAATTAATGAGAGAATAAAGCTGTAATCTTCCATCTATCTCGATCGCGCTCTCCTTGGTTGGTTCAAGTCCAGTAGATTTGATTCCAGTTTGTCAGTCTTTTAGTTATAATTTTAAATTAATCTTAAAGCAGATTAAAACTTAAACTATAATTTCTCTCTGTGTAAAATGCCCAGCATGAAATTGCAGTTACCCAAAAAGAGAAAAACTTTTCACCTTGAGGTTTCGTTTTGTGGTTTTTGGGGTTATTCGGCAAGGAATTGCCGTAAATTAGTTTTTACACCTGACTGGCCAGGGGACAGCATGTTGTTTGATCCCTTCTCTCGAAGCTCTCGAAGGGATAGCCCTGAGTGTGTGTGCTTTTAATTGTCCTCCAATCAGAGAAGTCTAGACAACGAAACGGGAGCTCCCAGCGTTTGCTATTTATTTACAGAATGTGTGTTTTGGGCTTGGGTTCGCCTGTGTGTAAATATAGAAGAACCTTTCTGTGAGTTTATGACACACAAACACACACACAGAAAAGCGAAATCTAATTTGAAAAGTACTAACCCGTAACGAAGCAATGGCCATATATCAAAAGAAGCTGCTAACCCCAAAAAAGCAGCCGGCAAAGGAATTTACGAGCAGACACCCTCCAAGCATGTTAACCATAAAATTGCTTTGAGAGAGAGAGCAGCAGCGGCAGGAGAAAAAGGAGCCCTGAGGACCAACCTGACACCACTTTAAGAAAGAAAACCCCCTTCTAGCTTTACAGAGTTATGCAATTGTCCTGAAAATGTTCAACTTTCATGTCGAATATTACCTACAGAAAAGTCTTACTAGGTTTTTTTTAGGGAGAATTCCTGTTGTAAAACTGTCACTGGTTAGTAGGAGCATATTCTTTTGAGATCTCAGTGGGAATTTTGTATATAGATTTTATTAAATTGTAAAGTTTCCATGTGAGGAAAATCAGGTACCTGAATCCTTTGTTTACCACGTACTGAATTGGGAGGTCCTTGTTTAACATGGAATTCCCCTCCGCACAGCCAAGTCCGACTGGATAGCTTTGCGTTTTCTTTCTCAACTCAAGAGTATAGGAAAAAAATATAAACAGAGTAGCTCAGCAGAACGACTTCGGCAAGGATTCAGAGGAGCAGTCAAAACCGCTTTCCGCTTTAGGCCAGTACTTTTTGTACATTTCTTAACAAAATCTTACAAAAAAATAGAAAAGATAAAAAATTAATACAAAAAAATAAAATATTTATAGGGAAGAGCAGGCCGTTCCTAGAACGTAAGTCGAAAAAGAACCTCAACAAAACGAAAAGTCTGATGACGTGCCAAATCAAACCCCACACTCCACAGTAAATTACAGCAGCCACATCGTATATATGTATCGTAGCCGGGTCTATATAAAACGCCATTAATTGCTTACACCTTACCGGATATATAATATCCCATATATATACAAATATATATGGATCGCATTCAGATCGGCGATAAGCTCTACTTCCAGAGAAGCGACGGTCGCATGCAATCGGTCACCTGCATAGCCAAGAATTCGGAACTCGAGCTGATAACAGGCGAGTGGGAGGAAGGCTCGGTGTCCAAGGGCAAGGACGTGGCTCTAAGCCAGCTTGTGGACATCAATCCCCATATATTTGAGGGGGAGGAGGGTAAACCGTCACTGCCGTTACTATCAAAATCGTTGGGCAAACTCTGTGCCCCGCGTGCAACAGTTTCTTCGATTCCAAAAGCTGCCTTCGGAGGATTAGGCGGAGCAGGAGGTGCCTCAATGGAGTGCAGCCAGTATACCTCAGACCGCCCGAGGGTGACCAGCAGACTGGCAGTCCCCAAGAGATCCCTGATTCCGAAAATAGCCGCCGCCAATCGTACTGCCTCTGCCGGAGCCGCAGCCGGACCCGGAGGCGCCCCCGGTCCCAACACTGCACGCGTCTCCCTGTCCAGTGTCCGCAATGCCAGTCCAATCTATGGACGCAAGTCTGGTAACAATACAAGCGTTTCGGGGGCCCAGCGCTGCTCCAATGTAGTGCACGAAGTGAATCGCATGAAGGAGGAGCGGGAGCTGCGGCGGGCTCGCCAGGCCGAGCAGCTCCTGGAGAAGGACGCGCTGCGCCGCCAGGATCCGGGCAATCCCAACTGGGAGGTGGCCATCATGCTGCGTCAATACCGCGCAACGCTGACCTTCAGTCCGCTGCGATGCCTGAATCCCCACGGCGGAGCCGTGCTGCAGATCACGGTCTGTGTGCGGAAGCGACCGATGGGGCGGCGGGAGGAGCGCATGAAGAACATGGACATCGTCACGGTGCCCACACGTGATTCCCTGATTGTCCACGAGCTGCGCTATAAGGTGGACCTCACCAAGTTCCTGGAGCACCACAAGTTCCGCTTCGACTATACCTTCGACGAGGAGTGCTCCAACGCCCTGGTCTACGACCACACAGCTCGGCCCCTGATCCGGACCATGTTCGAGGGCGGCAATGCCACCTGCTTCGCCTATGGGCAAACGGGGAGCGGCAAGACCCACACGATGGGCGGCGAATTCTGCGGCAAGTCGCAGGACTGCAGCAGCGGCATTTACGCCATGGCGGCCAGGGATGTCTTCCAGGAAGTGTCGCGCCCGGAGTACCGCCAGATAGGCGCCAAGATCACGTGCAGCTACTTTGAGATCTACGGCTCCAAGGTGTTTGACCTTCTGCAGTCCGATAAGCCCCAGCTGCGCGTCCTCGAGGATGGCCGTCAGCAGGTGGTGGTGGTGGGTCTCAAGGAGATGCCGGTGACCAAGGTGGACGATGTCCTCGGCCTGATCGAGCTGGGCAACAAGATGCGTACCTCGGGCCAGACCTCGGCGAATGCCAAGTCGTCGCGCTCCCATGCCGTTTTCCAGATGGCCCTCCACCTGCCGGACTCCTGGGGTCCCTACGGCAAGTGCTCGTTCGTGGACCTGGCGGGCAATGAGCGTGGAGCGGACACGCAGTCGGCGGATAGACAGACCCGCATCGAGGGCGCCGAGATCAACAAGTCGCTGCTGGCCCTCAAGGAGTGCATTCGGGCGCTGAGCCGCCAGTCCGGTCACCTGCCCTTTCGGGGCTCCAAGCTCACCCAGGTGCTGCGCGACTCCTTTGTGGGTGGCAAGAAGAACAAGACTTGCATGATAGCCATGATTTCGCCGGCCATGAACTGCGTGGAGCACACCCTGAACACCCTCCGCTATGCCGATCGGGTCAAGGAGCTGGTGGCCAAGGACGATGACTGCCAGGAAGCACATGAAGAGAAGTACGAGGAGGACGGACAGCCATCACCCCGACACCGGGAGCCAGAGATATACCAGGAGGAGGAGAACGTGTACGAGGAGGAAGGCGACGACGACTACGACAACAGCCACTGCATAACCATATCGTCGGACGAACCCAGTTACCCCAGCCCCCTCAACAACAACATCAGCGTCCTATCCCCATCCGATCTGAGCCCCGCCCAGAGTCTGACGCCCCGCATCAAGATCCTTGAGGTGGCCAAGCAGCATGGAGCCATGATCAAGAGCCTGGAGCATTTCGTGCGAAACTTCAAGAATCTGAATTCACGAGAGAATTTCGAATGCTACGTAAGCAACTTGGAGAAGCCCATCCAGGATCTGGCCCACATGGTGAACACGACCAGGGAGCTGGTGGCCAACTACAATACCCAGTATGGCAGCAAGGACCTCGACATGAATCGGAATCCGGAGGAGGGGGACTACTAGCCACCTCAATATGTATCACTGTGTATATTTATATATTTCCAAACAAGTCTCCTCCGTTTGACTTCTGTGGAGACCCAGCAGTTAATGAAAATTCAGCCGCGAATCTAGTTTCCTTTTTTCTCACAACTCCTCCATCGGTGCAGCACTCAAGTTTCACTTGAACTCGCTGAGGTAAAATAAAAACTTTTACGCGGATGGAGTTTTCTTTTCTTTCTTTCGTTTTTATACAGCTTCTCTGTGCAGAACGCTTCTGATACAAATTTATGACCGTCCAAAGTGTAATCAACAACAAAAGAAACGTGGCAGCGAGGGAGGGGGTGAACTGTGGATTTGTTGTTAACTTGGTTAACTGGCAATATTCGCCGGCGTCATGTGTAACAGGTTACGGGAGTAGAAGTTGCCGATGGAAGTGCAAAAAACTGGGCAAAACTTTTTGGCTGCAAAAAAGGTAACAGGTTTCGAGCAAAGATAGTATAAACTTTAAGATGCGTAACGACATTATAAGAGCTTTGGGTCAAGGCTTTAAGCTGGCCCTTGATAATCGAAGTAGTTAATTTTTTGATTTTTTAAAGGATTTTGAAGGATTTAAAAAGAAGAAAGGTTTCATTTATTTTATTTGAAAAGCTATCTTTCCTAATAAAAATCCTTTGCGTTTCTGTCTGGAATCTTCTCTATCTCAGAATGATACAATTCGCTGAAAATTATGGTTAGCTGTGCGTAATAGTTGTACAAATTATCAAAGATCTCTTGGTAACGCGCGATGACCTTGCGATTGGAAGTGATGACCACATTCTCATAGTTATGGCGGGTGCCTTGTTCGGTCCAGTTCAGTGAGCCTGTCATAACGATTCCACGGCGCTGCAAGAGGCGGGCTGCCTTGAGCCTCTCTTCACTGCCCAGCTGAAGGATCCGCTGCTCCCCATCTATGATGGTGAACTTGTGGTGCATGATGGTTCTCTTGGCGGCCACGTGAATGGGAATGCAGTGGGAGCAGAGCTTCCGCATCTGGGAACCGCGGATGTGTACCATTTCGGGGTCGGTGACGATGCGCACGTTGACGCCCCGATACCAGGCGGCCAACACGGCCTTGAATATACTGTCATGGGTGATGACGAGGTGGGCAATATCCATGCACACCTGGGCATTGTCTATATAGGCAATCAGTCGATTCACCCGGCAAGGAGTGCAGAATCGCCTCGGACAGTTCCCATTCTTGTGCATTTCATTACTCTTCAGGGTCTTGTCATTGAACAAAATCACATCAGTGAAATCCGGTTCATGGCGATATTTGGCCAAGAGTTTCTGGAACAGGGTCAGCACATGCAGCCAACTTTCGGGGGGTTATCAATAATTTAGTTATTTTTCTTTGAATAATGTATAAACATTACTAACCAAAGGCACAAGTACATAAATCCAGATTTAATAGCTTGCATTTTGTGATTTCTTAGAAAGTTAATTTGACAACTTCAATGCCCAAAGGCAGCTCTGCACGAAGATATCATAGTTTCAGGAAAATTTGAAACAATGGAATTGGTACAAAAATCGTGTGTTAAAATTACCAGCAATAGACCTTTTATTCTTTCTTTGCAATACAAAATACCTTTCTAAAGCCTTTAAAACATATCTTCTGCAAACTTTTCATAGACTAACAAACAAAACCTTTAAATAGTGCAACGAAAGCCGCTTAAAACTCTTCAAAAATGTAACTCGAATAACAATTACTCGGAATTTCATTAGGAATGGCTTACAAATTGTTTACCGAGTCGTGAACTTGCTTCGGTACATTCTTGCAAAACTTTAAAGTGTCAACGCTGATGATGACGAGAGAGAGTAGGATGCTTGCCTTGCCGATGATGATGGCGATGAAGCCCAACCGCAAGGCAGCTGTAGACAATTTCCTTCTGTTCCCCGGGCTCTGTCACACTCTCAATATCTCTCTGCCCAAGTAAATGTAAAATTTTCCCCAGATGCTGAAAATTGCAACTAATTCCATGGAAACTTTTCCCAGAACTTGCGCCACGCACACAAACACACACACAGAGGGAGATCTCTCATTTGGAAAACTTTAAAATTAGTTAAGTTCAAACTGAGATATCCAATAATGCAGCCCCAAAATGTGAACAAACAAATTCATCTGCGACTTCAGACTTGCTTACATTTGAATGGCTCGGTTTCGTTCGGGTTTCGAGTTGGGTTTGGTCTGGGTCCGGATTTTGGTTACAGTTGGGTCGGGTCCGGGGCATATATTTGCATCAAGTTTTGCTTTGATGTGGCCTCAGATTTGCGGTACATGTGTAGGGGGACGGGACGACTACCCACCCACACAAACTTGATCCAAAAACTTTCAATCAAATTAGCCCAATGCAACGCACATTGGCTGGAGGCGGGAATTTTGAGTTACAGCTAAGCACATTGCACATTGGGTTTAGTATATTTACTCATTAAGGGGGATTTCATAGAGCTTAAATATTATTAAAGCATGAGGGATTTAAATGAATGTGGTGTGAACATGGCATTGAAAATAATATCGATAAGCGATAGGTCTGTAGAAAGGTTGCAAGCGAGTATTATCGAGGTCGATCGTTTATGCATTGTATGAAAGAGCGGGAAAGAGGTCAAGGTAGCATATCAACAAAAAATTAGGAAAATTAAGATCTCTATATTCAAAATTATATATACAAATCTACGAAAACAAGCTTTTATCCAAATAAAAAGTCGTGTTATCTGACAGCCAGCTTAGATAATAGAGTTATCTTTATAGAACCCAGTCTGTAACCCTTCCAATTTTCATTTGTATAATGACTGCTAAGTTTTTGCAGTTGGTCTAATGAGGATGCCCGTTTAGGAGCTCCTCCGAAATACGTACTTTCCGCTCATTGTGGCTGCTGAAGAGCTTTTGTTTTCTTTTTCTTTTTTGGAGAGAGGGGGGAAAGTGAAAGTGCAGTGCTGAATTTTAACAAAATTTATATGGAACGGCAGAGAGTAGAAGCAGCAGCAGCAGCTGCGAACGAAGTTAAAAGGACAATTTACCTCCTTCCCTGCTGCGCTGCGTCTTGACTTGGAATGCATGAAAGGGAAAAGCACAAAAACATTTTCACGTTTTGTCCCCCCGCCCAACTTTGTTGGTTTTTCCTAGTTGCCTGCCCGCCTGCCTTTTCTTGTGGGTTTCGTTTTAAGCCAGGCCAAAAGCACTGCAATGCCAAAGAATTTAAGGGGCTGTGGCCTAGGGGAGGCCGGAGGTGGCAGGGATGCTGCTGCTTGGTTTCAACTCGAAGCAAAACACTTAAGTTTTAACCCAAATTGTTGCCAACAAAGCGGTTTGTCTAACATTCTTTTTGAGCAAAATTTTGTGAAAAAGTGTTTTTCCAACGAGACCGAACCGCACACACACACACACATGTCTTCTCGTTCCTTATATAAAGCCGTGAACGAACATCCAAAGAGTAAACAAGGCATCCGAAGAGCTAAGGGCCAGCCTTGGATATGCCCCCAAAGCTAAGTAACAATAAACGTCGGAGAGAAAGAGAGAAAATTTAGCTAAAGAAAAGGGCATTTTTCCTGCAGACTAAAGCTAGTGGGGGCAGGACTTTGGGGGGATATCAATGAAGGAAAAGAGTTCTTATGTGGGATTTTGGGATGTATTTCATTTAGGAGAAGTAGCATTAATGGTTAGGCAAGCAAAAGTAAAACAAAAGACTCTAAAAGGTGTTAAATATCAAGCTAAGAATCTAGCTAAACAATTATATTATATAATCCCTTAATATTATACTATTAAATATTATTAGCTTTTAAATAATAAAAATATTTAAGCATTTATAAAATGCAAAATATAGAAACACAAAACCATGTCCTGCTGGGCGACAATGGCTGCAAATGCAAATGGCGTTTTGCCCGTTTGGACCCACATAATGGCCAACCGTCTAACCCTTTTCCCGCACTTCCCTACCCACGCCTAAAATGCACACTTCCCGCAGGGTGTTAGCCATGTCTGATGATGCCTCATGTCTGGCCTGCCTGCCAGCGACATGTTGACCTTAAAAAACTTGACGTGTTGCAAATGTTGCAAAACAACTCGAGGGCTTTCGACTTGAGCACTTTTTCAGTTCTGTTCAGTGTTCAGTGCTCAGTGTTCAGTGTTCGCCGTTCGCTGTTCGGTTCGCTTTTGATGGCGATGGAGCACAGTCGGTCCGTCCCTGTTTGACGCACATGAAGTGCCGCACTTGAAATATGCTTTTTTGCCTCTGGCCAAAAGGGAAAGCGGGCGGCGAGCGACGAGCGGGGGGGCCAGGGTGCGGAAAATGTGTTTTGACAAGTGTCACTTATGCGTAGCTACTATGAAATATGCAAAACCTCGTTTCCCATCTCGCTCTGTCTGTGTCTGTGTGTGTGTGTGGCTTGTTGCTATAATTGCAATTGAGGAAAATGCAAAGGAAGGACGGGGCTCCACGGGGCGGATGAGCTATATGCGATGTCTGTGTGATCAATGCATTTATCGAGTGCTGAACAGAGAAAGAGAAAGAGGGGGAAAGCGACAGTTGGTGATGTGCAAAAAGGATGTAATTAATTTGCACCCAAGGACTTTGGCAATGACAATTTGAATGAACTATAAAATAAACACTGCTGGGAACAGGCGAGTGTAATGCCCAGGGGTTTTACAAAGTCAAAAGAGGGAATCTTTTGCTAATAAGGCAGCTTAAAAAGTCTCTAAATAAAATAAATTTTCGTTAAAATGAAAATAAATTATTAATAGAGCCGAGAGTATTCAATAGTTCTTTTATATCATATTTTCTGACACTCTAAATAAAGATCTTCATGTCCCTGTTGTTTTAAACTCTGCATAAATATTCAGTAAACCTTATTATTTATGCAATGCCTAATAATTATAATTAATTTTCCATTCGCATTGGACCAGCTTAATCGAGAGATAAGCGCTGAATTAGAACCTCAAAGCATTTAAACCACCGCCAAATGGAGCTGTAGTCAGGGCTTACTATATAAGCACAGTGCTAACTTTATCAAGAACTGGAAAGGGGTAGGGGAAACACCTAATCTGCCCTTCCGCGCAACCTTATATTAAATCCATCCGCAGCCAATTGAAATCGCCCCCCGAGTTCAGTTGGGTTCGCAGGCGGCGGCAGCAGCGTCGGGCACTCCACAAATTACCAAACAAAACCGAATCCCCCAGTGGAACCAACAAGTTTAGAGCCAAAAGGCAGACAGACGCAGCGGAGATAACTCGCTGGAATTTAATATGCGAACCTTTTCCGTGCTTAAATTTCACAAATAGAGAGAACCGGGAAGGGGACGCAGGCGAAGGGCCGCGCGCACAAAAGCCATTCGGTCCTCCTGGGACTTTGCTATAAATATTAAAGCAAAGCAGCACCGAATCCGGTGCAAGAGAATATTTAATCTATATATATATATATACTATATATATATTTTGATATGAATTTAAGACCGACAATTCCCTGGGCAGGTCAGTGTTCACTTGAGCTCGGATCGCGGCGGCGTATACGTAATGCGCCCATTAATATTTAGGCCACGTTAAAGCCAAAGAGTCGAGCTGAAAACTTTAAAGAAATTTGCGCCAAGACCCCCTGAACCCCTGGCACCGCCGCAGACTTGCCTGCTAGTCATTTGTCAGTGGGTTAAAGTTTTGCCCCAAACTGGAGCAATGCTCTGTTAATTAGCATTTTACCGCAATCAAACGGGGTTTCTGCCACCCGAAACCCCCAACCCAAGCCCAAACACCACTGGCAAATGGCAAAATGGCAATTGGAATGTAAACTGCGATAAATGTAAGGGGTTCTGCTGCTCCGCTGTTGCTGCTGCTCCGCCATTCTGTATCTTGGCCATCTCCAGAGGAATTAACTTGGCTATATGGTAATGTGTAATTCAATTGCCCTTAATCATGAAATATTCCAGGCTTTCCCCCATTGGGATTGTGCTTATTATTTCTGTTTTGCAATGGAAAGAAATTAAGTGAAATTAAATGGGTAAAAACCCTAGGGGAGTTGTGTTTTGGTATTGGGGAGGGGGGAGAAAGTTTTCATTGGAAGTTTTTTTTATTATTTCTTTGAGGAAGTGGTTCTTGTTTTTGGTGGGCTTAAGATGAGTTGCCAATGTTATGCTTTATTGGTATTATTTTATCAAATTTATTAAGTCTGAAACTTATTTTTCAAAACTTGTTTTAAAGTTTTTAAATGATTTTAAGTAGTTTTGTTATACATACCCTGGATGGGTATTATAATTTCAGTCAGAAGTTTGCAACGCAGTGAAGGAGCCATTTCCGACCCTATAAATCATATATATTCTTGATCAGCATCAACAGGGGAATCATTCTAGATATGTCAGGAAGAAATCGATTTTTTGGCCATTTTTGCAATATTTTATAAGGGGTTACATCATTAAAATTTTTGATTTTGATAAAAAATTGAATTTTCAAAATTTTAAAATGAAGTATGCAGATTTATTAACTGTAGAAAATCTTGCACAGAACAGTTTTCCGATTTAAAATTAATGCACTTTTGGGCGAGTTATGATATTTTTAATTTAAAAAAAATCAAGAAGTTGTTTAATATAAAAAATCAGATTTTATCATACAAAATAATATTTTTCTAAGTCAAGGAATCATTTCCGACCCCATAAATCATATATATTCTTGATCAGCATCAACAGGGGAATCTTTCTAGACATGTCCGGAAGAAATCGATTTTTTGGCCATTTTTGCGAAATTCGATAAGGGGTTACATCATTAAAATTAGCAAAAATGGCCACAAATTTTGATTTCTTAAAATTTTAAATTTGGTATGCAGTTTTTTTAAATTAATAAAAACTAACACAAAACTGCTTTCCGAATCGAAATTAATGCATTTTTGGCTTAGTTATGATATATTTTAATTGTTACCTGCAAGGGTATACAAACTTTGGCTGGCCAAAGTTAGCTTTCTTTCTTGTTTCATTAGGATTAACAAGGCGCGTTAACTTATTTCCGGCCTGATACCTTTTCTTTTCCTTAGCCTCCTTTACTTATTTATCATTTTATATTTGCAATTTGCAAACTGGTTTCCGACAATTGCCGCAACGAGTAAATATAATTCTTCCCTTTTTCAGGAATTTGCATGGCAAACACTTTGTAGTGTCGCCGCCTAACCAATCCGGGGCCCTGCAATTTTCCAGCATAGTTTTTCACACCTTTTTCCTTGTTGCTTGTGTTAAGCGGAGGCATTCAGGTCAAATGCGTATAAATTTTAAGCCAAAAACACTCTGACACACAGTCTCTTTCCTGGGGACATGTGGAGAAAAGGTTGGGGTTTTTCCTGCGAAATCAAAGGCAAAGGCTGGAAATTGAGATCGAGAATGGCAAACGCTTAGGAGCAATTACAAATTCCGGTTCTGTCATCCACGGCTCTGTCGAAGCGGAAGTCATTATCGTGGCAAACAAAACCTAATAGAGATAGGGGCTGGGAATGGGGGCTATCCCTCCTCCTCCCTTCCGTAAGTTAACCCGCCTGGGGCGCTCTTAACCCCCCAGTGGCCCCCGGGCCAACCGCAGGAACAACAACTGTAACACGCCATTACATACATTTGCGACAACTTGGGTGTTTTGGGGCGGGCTTGGGTTCTCTCCTCGTGCGGCTATGGGTTTTGTCCTCATTATCGAGTTAATTATGTGTGTGTGACCGTCTTTATCCGGTAGTGTGAGTGAGTGTGTGTATGAGAAGGTAATTACAGCAGTGCTTCCATTGTTGGCCAGGACATTTCGCCTTCGGATTTCAGATTTTGGGGGGTTCTTGGCTTTCAGTTTGTTTTCCATTGATTCAGCATGGAGAGAAAATGGGTGGGTAAACACTATAGAAGAATCAGATTAAATATTGAATAGAAATATATAATTAAAAGTAGATAAAATATATTAAACTTGAGGAGATTATTTAACTACTAAGTTAAAAATTGGTGTTCTCGGTATTCTCACTTGAGAATTCTAAGCATTTTATTTAAAAATCAAATACTGACTATAGTAAATAAATAAAAACATATAGTAAAATAAATATTTTAATAATATTAAATATAATATATATAAAATAAACACACAAAAGAGATTTTCTGTAGACCTACCCGTATTTCCCCCGAGTGTCTTTGTGTGTGTCTTCGTCCACCCTCCCAATTTTCCGCTCCAAGTTTTGCACCTTTCGTTTCGATTGTAATTAATTTGCAAGGCGACTTCCCTAATGATGTGGTTGGTGGTCTATTTAAAGTGATGAATGTCTCCGCACGCCGAGTAAATCTTTCTCCCTTCCGCCGCCAGGACTATTTTTTGCCCACAGGTATCTTAACGATAGATGTATATGCTGGAAATATGTTAACCCATCATTTACACCAAATAATCAGGGATTTCGCATCTGTTTGTTGTCGTTTTTTTCCCCCTCAGTCGGTCGGTAGACCCAACTCAACATTTCCGATCCTGAAGGTTAATTACATTTATCCAAAACGCAACTGAACCCGCAGGACATTGACTTAATTTCCCTGGCGTTTGTTTTTCTTCTTTCCCGTTTTCGCTGTATATACCTTTTTTTTCTGTATTTTCTCTTTTTCTGTTTGCTTTTTAATTTTTTTAAATGCTCGAAAAAAGTCGAGACCAAAGTGCTGCCAGCAATTTCCTCTATCTTTCCCGCCCCAACCCGCTTTCATCTTGGTTTTTTTCCGCTTTTCCGTAATGCTCGTTGAAGCGCCTAAATGGTAATTAAAAATTGTTGCATTGCCGCTCGAATGCGTTTGCTATTTATGTAGTTCGCGGGGCATTTCGTAATTTCTGGGGGACTCGCACAGAATTTAAAGGTTCAGTGGCTTAGCATTTATTAAGGTTTTTATTTTTCTAGATTATCTGTGTTGTCTTGTATTTCTTGGAACTTCATTGAAATTGTAAGGGAGGGTGCTGTGGCGAAATTGATTAGGGTTTGGGAACGCTTTAGAGACCTTACTTGTCCAGTTTATATTGAAAATTTAATTAGTTATTAGTTTCTTTTATGAAAAATATCTAAAACTTGCTGCATTTTATTATAAAGCACCCATACATCCCCTGTTCCCTTAACTTTTATGTACCTTTCTTAGACAGAAACTTCTCTAGCTTCAATAAAACACTCAAAACTAAACTTTTCCCCCCTTTTCGACTACATTTATGGACGTGAAAACACCTTGCTTTGGTCTCTTGGAAATTGCCAAATCGAATGCATTGCCAAAATAAATTCTGATTTGACAGCAAATAATCGACTGTGGAAAGTTGGCAACTTTTTCGAGGTGTCAGCCACCAGCACACGTTCCAAAGGACTTCAAAATGGGCCAAAAGGGGGGCAGTGGAGCCAAAGTCGGTTATGCAACGCTGCAGTATAGTTGGCTTAATCCGGCGCCAGTTGCAGCTGCAGTGGCGTTGTCCCGAAGTGGGCATCCTGCGCATCGCTAATCCAAATCCTAATCCTAATCCACGCAATTCAAAGGGGCAAAAACCACAGCAGCTCGTTGTGAAACACAAGGCACAAAGTTATGGGTGTGTTACCCCGCCCTCCTACCCCCCAGTTGCTGTCCATTCAGGCATTGCGGGCTTAAATATTTAATTTCATTACGACAGGACCCCACACACTCGGCGAAATGTAAGCCAAAAGTGGAGAGGAAGAGATATCAGGCATTCATCATTCATTGAAAGGGAAAAGAAGAAGCTGAAGGAGCGGAAAAAGGAAGGCAGCCGGAGAAAGGAAACATTTATGTGGCTTTCTTTATATATATACCGCATATATGTATATGAAAACCCACAGCCCTCCTTTGACTCGGCTGCATCGTGAAATGCTTCGCTTTATTTCACTTCATTCTGCGCTTTGAGAGCTCGTTGGCGAAATGTGAAGAGGGACCTCCCAAGGGAGCCGGGAGGAAGGACCTTCTCCCGCCAATTATAATTATGAAATTGCTAATAATATGTGAAATGCTGATGTCTTGACATACTCGTCTTGTCCTTGACGTTCCCATTGAAACGAGAGTGACGCAAATTGAAGTTAATGCGAAATATGTTAACCGATGTCATTGAGGCTTTCAGCCATAACTTGATATTACAAGAAGGAATTTCAGGCTTTATGTTATTTGTTCTCTCTTTATAAAATAATATATAATCTTTCCTTTTCTTAAACCTCTGCTTAGTTTTAAGGTTGTCATGTCATGGAAACTTACGTGGGAACCCAAGGCAGGCACTGCACTTGATACTACCTCCATTCCTCCCGAGAAACAACACTTTTTATACTCTTTTGTATTTTGTTTTGGGCGCCGGCCATAATTTTGTCAATAATATTTGTTTGTTTTGGCCATAAATGCAAGTTTTGGCTTTTATTAGTGGTTCCAGCCATTTGCCTTTATTTCGGCGTGTCAATGGCAATGGGTAGTAAGGGATATATGGGGTAGAGGGTGTCTCGGTATCCGCCGATATTGATATACTAGCTAAAGTCATGCAATGCGGCAAATGATAAACAGCAACGCCTTCAATAACAGTTACAATTGTGAACTCTGGCAGGAGCACAGGTGAGCAGGTGAAAGGGAATTGCTGCTTTTTGGGGGAGAGTGAATGAGGTAAGAGCCACACTATAAATAGATGTCTCAATGGAATTATTCCAATACATGCAATTGAAAGTGAAATGGAGACCAAATTTGGCAGTTACAAAAGTGAGGGAAATATGGTCTTTAAACAGTTAGATTTCCTAATTTTAAAACAAATAATTAAAGCTTACAGATAACAGCCAAAACAGCTTCATGAATAACCTATGTGTTGTCTTATCTAAGCCAATGGCCAATTCAATTATTGATAAATAACCAAACTGCACAAATGCCAAGCCTTAGATAGGAAAACAGCTGTTGCTCAGAGCCCAGTTAAGCTCTTTGCCGTCAAATAAACTGAAATTGAGTCAGTACTTCTTGGACTCTCCAGCGAAATAGTAAAGCTCTTTTTATAGGAACAATATGACAGACAGTGGGAACTTTACAGCCACCGACGGTAATGGCAAGATGAACTCTTAAGTTCTCAAGTTCCGGCTATATAAGTGATAAGTGGTACTTGTTCTAGGGTCCAAGGAGGAGCAGGCCCATAACAATCTGATGATGGTTATAGCAACCCTAACCTGGCTGCTGCTAAGCTGCTTAAGTGAGATGTTCAATAGGAGTAATAGTGAAGTCAGGGGAGTCATAGAAATTCATTTGAAGTTGCAGAGACAATTTTAATAATAAAAATTCATCTAAAATAGCTGATTTCAAGTCTCTAAAAATGTTCTATGATCTCCCTGACTGCTTATTATATTTATTAAAATATTTTTTCAATGAAAATTCCCCCATTCCGTAGCTCTCTTCATTTACTGCTGCAATTATTGGCAAGTTTTGAGGCCCCTTTCGCGACGCAGCCGTGAGGAAACCACCGAGTCGCCTCACAGCACCCTGCTAACCGTGCATGATTAGCAGGGGGAAAAAAACAAAAAGAAACCTTTACAAAGGAGCCCGAGGAAATGGCGGAAAAGGGCCAGCCGGAGCAGCAGCAGCTGTTGGAGATCATCCTTGGCCGGGGCCTTGACACTGGCCATATTGCCCCTGTACGCAGCATCAGCAGCAGCAGCTTCCATTTCCATTTTCCATTTCCGTTTCCGTTAAGTTAATTCCACACGACAACAGATAAACAAAAAAAACGAACAAAAAAAGACAACGGAAAATTCCATGTGTTGCTATTTCCCTTTTTTCTCTGCGCTCCTTGCTGTGTTTAGTTTACATTTTCCCTCTCTCATCTCTGGCCTGGCCAAAAATATTTTATTTCCCTCGGCTGCCAGGGCAACAAGCCGGCAAAGGAAGCCTTTCCGTCCGTCCTGAGATATTTGCAGCTCTCGAGCTTTCATTTCTTTTGCTGTGCGGGGGAAAAAGTGAAAAGCGAAAAGCATCTTTTATGCAAATTTAGCAGGTGGGTGGCGGCAGGCCGGAGCCAACATGACTTCCGCTCCTTAACTGGCTTAATGTTGCCCAGGTAAAAACAGCCAAAAGAGTTCAGCCCAAAGGGGAGTTTAAAAGGAATCCCCGAAAGAAAATGGCAAAAAATTGTGTTATTAGATTAAAGCTGAGAAAAGTTTAAGGCGAAAGCATGAACCTTTGAAGTTACGTGTATCTTGATTTATGCATAGTAAAAGTCACTTACCATTCTCCCTGAAAGCTTTCATATTTGAGGAATTTACTATTGGGAGTAGAATGTTTCGTAGAATTGCCATTTTCTTTAATGGAAATGAAGAGCTTTTATGCAGAAATTCAAAATAAAATTCATAATTTTCTTGAGAATTTCTTTGGGTTTAGCAAGAAAGCTTGAAAATATTAAGATGTTTTATTTGATTTTAACATAAATTCAAGACCTCTTTGGATCCAAACTTTAGTGTACTTCCCTTATTTCCTCCTCAGTTAAGCCGCAACAATTATCCGTAACCCATTTACGGTGGCACACATCATTACCATTCACCATTCACCGCCGGAATCACCCCGCTTTCCTGGATCCAACCCTCTCAACCTCTTTCCTGAACCTTTAAAATTTCGTCAGACCAAAATCGATTTGCCCAAGGCCTCCTCTTCCATCACATAACTCTGGCCAAAAGCAAGGCTAGGAGTTGACTTCACAATCAGAATGACAGAGAGAGAGAGGGAGGGAGCTGAGGAAAATCGACTGGCAAAGAGGTAAACTCTTGAGAAAAGTTTTCGCCGGCACCAAATCAAATGCCGATTATCGCCCAGTTAGTTGCACTCACAAAGGGAAGCGGGAAATCCGTTGAATTGAGAGGTAGAGAGGTAGAGAGTGACATGGTAGTGGCTCCAATTTCGTGGCCTGGCACGGCTGTGCCTTCTGCTTTCAGGAGGAGACTACCACCAGAAACCTACGACGACTGTTCACTCATTATCGGCGTGTTTGTTTTATGAAGGTCGTTTCCAACAGCCCGCACAAAAGGATTCGGGCCACGCACGCACAGACATCGTCAGTGTCGTCACCCCATTCCCCAGACCCCAATTCGGGTGCCCATTCCACAAGCACCCTCTGCCATATTACCTCCTTTTTTGGGCTCAAGCTCCAAGCTCCCCTCTAGGGATGTCGAAAATATATCAAAATATCAATATATCGATATTTTTTGCGAAAAAATAAATATTTTTATCGTGTTATTTTTTTTTGAAAAATTATCATATTTTATCGATATTTTTTTGAGATATTTTTTGATGTTTAAGGCGGTTACACTTTTTATCGGGACAAGGAAAGAAAACATGTTTTTGTTATCTTTCATATAAGATACTGTTAAAGCCTTAGTTCGGCGGAAAAAATGAAACTGAACCTAAAACAAGAAAGGAAGCTAACTTCGGCACGCCGAAGTTTGTATAGTTCATTACATTTTACCTACACTTATTATGTTTACTGTTTGACAGTTACAGTTTTGCATTCCCAGCTTTACATTTTCTCTACGTCTACTGATCGTTTCTATGGCAGATATATGGCAGTTGTCCGATTTTCATAAAATGTATACCAAAATTCTGAAATAATAAAATAAGCCTATATCTCAGAGTAGATGAAAAAACGTTGAAAAACAACAAAGTTGTTTTCATAAAACATACCAAAATTCTGAAATATTATAAAATGGACATATTTAAAAAATGATGCAAAAATGTTGAAAAACAGTCAGGTTAGAATTTTTTTCTAAAAATTTATCGAACATTTGTATGGCAGCTATATGATATAGTCGTCCGATCCGGCCCGTTTCGAGTATATAGAAGACTTTATGCGGAGTTTCATTCAGATAGCTTTTAAACTGAGGGACTAGTTTGCGTAGAAACGGACAGACGGACGGACAGACGGACGGACAGACGGGCGGACAGACGGACATTGCTCGATCGACTCGGCTGTTGATGCTGATCAAGAATATATATACTTTATAGGGTCGGAAAGGTCTCCTTTCTTGCGTTGGAAAACTTCTGACTGAAATTATAATACCCTGCAAGGGTATAATGAAAACGTTTGCTTTATTATTATTTAAGCATGTTTTTATTATCTTTCATATAAGATAAATTTTTGTTCTGATTTGATTTTAATATAAATAAAAGCAAAAGAAAGTAAAAATAAATATAGTTTTCTTTCATTTAGTAATAAATATAAAATAAAAATCTAACAATATAATTTAAGATCGTATGTGAGTTAATGTTTAGTGGTTATTGAAATTAAAAAAAAATAATAATAAAACAAAAATATCAAAAATATTTGATAAATCGATATTTTTTTTTGATATTTCAAATATCATTTTGATATATAAAAAAAAAAAAAAATCATCGATACGATATTTTTAAATATTTCGACAACCCTACTCCCCTCTGACAATCTTTGACAAAAGTACACTTTGAAAAGGGGGAACTTGCTTATAAATTTATTAGAATATTTATTATGAAATGTTCAACAAACTAGTAACTAAATTAAATAGATTTTCTCTCTTAAAATTCTTAAATAACTTTTCCTTTTAAAATTTACTTTACTTTTTTTAGAAAGCAACTTTTCCTGCAGTGTCTTTGCTGCCATTTTTGGCCATTGTTATCTGGTTGCCTTGCTTTTGCCTTTGCCTTCGGTTCTTCATCTGCTTATACGGCTTTTCCTCTCTCTCTCTCTCTCTACCTTCCTCTCTGTAAGCCAGCTTTTCCTCTAGCCTCTTGTGTTGACACTTTGCGTTATTGTTGACTGGTCCATCTCGGTGATATCTTTGATAAATCTCGGCTTTCGCTTGTCCAAGTAACCAAAAATTTGTCCCAACTTCAGCGAGTGCTAATAGCAAACACAGCAAAGGCAAAGAAAAGAGAAGGAAAACTGTGAGGAAAAGCCAGCTGAAGTTCATCATAATTGCTTATGACGATGAGTCGAGGGAAATCTGTTTCCCAGCCATTGGAGGAGGCTGCGCATTAAATTATTTCTCATTATTGACAGTTTATCAAATTGATTTAACAAACTGCCACCCCTCCAGGCCCCGTTTTTGCCTTGATATTGTGCGATTTTCTCTGATTTTCCCCTTCGGAATCCCCCCCTTTGGAGGCAACTTAAGTGTTCGTGATAAATGTTATGGTTGTTTGCTAGCTTCTTTTCCTGCCCCTGCCCCTCACCCTCTCTCTAGCTAAGCTTTAATGTGCTTTTGTTGCTTCTGGCTGACTGGTAGTGAGTGTGTGTGTGTGTGCGTGTGTACAGTGTGTGGAATTTATGTAATGCCCAAAAGTTGAAGCATACTTTTCGGCTGTTTACTTAATGTTCCTGCTGCTGCTGCTGCTTCTCTCAACATTTTTAGTTAATTTTAGTTTGTTTGCAGAGGAAAGAGGACGAGTCCTGCGAAAACTGGCTAAATGTTTTATTAATTTAAACACAAAGCCCAAAGTTCTGCAGTTTTCTGTATATTCTGCCATGTAATTCAGGTTTTTCGGAGAGACTTTGAGCTGTGTGTGCAAGTCAGGTCCAGTGAGGAATAGATATAAAATGCACATATATTATATATTAGGTCTCTCAAGCCTTTGGTTAAGGTGTTTTCTCTGCCATTAATTATTACATATTTTTGAGCAAAACTTGGTAATATTCTTCCAAGGAAAACGCACTGCAAATAACCTTTTATAAGGTTTCATTTATTATTTTAATAATCATAATTCATTGACATGAACCCACAAATATGTAATATATTTCCCATTTAATGGAAAACAACTTGAGGTGAAGCTATAGTCAAGGCAAGTGGCATAATCTGCTGGCCGGAATTATCAATCAAAAGGCAATTTCTGGCGCTGCCATGGCAATAGTTCGCTCTCATTTCCCTGCACAACAGGAATATGAAATAATAATGCAGCGGAATTGAATTGAATTGTGGGCCCTGCTGCTTCGACTCCTGCTGCAGGACACTTGAGAGGATGCGTCGATTCAAATCGATTGGCAAAAGCGGCTTTTAACAAGTAGATTTGATCCGATATTCATTTCCCCCAGCAAGGAAGTTGTTTGTTATATACAATATTGTTGTATTGTCTTGTCCTTGCCAGCTCATAATTAAGCCTAGAATGCTAGGATGTCGGGCTGCCAGGATGGAGTGCATATCAAACACATCCTGGGGCATTTGACTGCGTCTCAAGTGGCAGGAAGACATCGCAACGGGTGGGCTTCGCTTCTGGTTTTCCACCCTTTTGTCACGTCCTTGTTACCCACACGAAAATAAAAAAAATACAAGAAAAAAAAAGGAAGAGCTAGGAAATGCGAGGAGAGCAAACAAGCTTCTGACAGCGTCTGAAGAGGAGGACAAAAGGTTTCAAATCCGACTGATTCCAGCCAATTTGTTTGTTTATTTCTGTTTGTTTTCCATAACAGTTACACAAATAATCCCCTCGTTGCCTCCTCCTGGTCACTTAATTGCCCGGCAATTTGCCAGGCATGCATTCTTCATGGGTTATGCATTATTTTCCGTCTATTTCCACTCGACACCAAAGACTGCTCTCAACCCTCTCTCTGATTTCTGTGTTGACCTTTGCATAATTTATTTGCCAAGAAGATAACTGACTGAATGCCTCTGCCGTACATATTTTTCGAAATGTCATTGCCAAAATGGTTAATTAAATATTTAGTTGGACAAACGTTGTAGTAAAATGTTGATTAATTATTTAGGATTTTCCTGCAGGGAAAGGCCACCCGTTTACCATATCCGTAGATGAAATAGCATCTCGATTTTGGCAACTTTTGACTGTTGTTTTTGTTAAGAAACTTGCCAAAAGTTTTCCAACACCCACACGGGCTGGCTTTTCCCTGATTTCCCGACATGCCGACACTTGTTTTTCGGGGCTGAGTCTAAGTGATTTAGGCTAAACTTTTCCTCTTTTTTTTTGTTCTCCCCGGAAATGTAGCGGGAAAAACTTTTGTTGCTCTGCATAATCGTCGTGTCGGGAACGAAAAAGAAGGCTTTCCCCGCTCTAAGTGCATTACGAAACAATCAATAAATTTACTTGGTGCTGGCGGGAGTGTGGGAGAAGTACTAAACTCAACTCCAGGAGAGAGAGTCCTGCCATGCTTATGCGCCGCTTATGCTGGGGATTATGTGACATGTGGGCAAAACGCATATATATGCCATATTCCTGGCCACGTGCCTGAGCTTGACGCCACCGTACTTACGTACTAGCCCAGTTGAGTCGTAATTCATTTGCATAACATTAACGGGCAAGCGGATGCCATAACATGGCCCACATGCCAGGGCTCTAAACTGGGGGCCAGCAACCGAGTTTAAATAAAATATTTATGCCAACGAATTAACCGTAAACAGAGGAGTTCCGGGGCACTGACTGTGTGGGTGTTGAATTGGCTTACGAAGGGTCCTGTCTCCTTTATGGCCTTCAGCATGATGATGGAAGCGGAGATTGCTGTATCCTTTTTGAATGAATTTATATATATATTTGTTATTTAATATTTAGGCAGCAGAAGGTTTAAATTCTTCGAAGGAAATGATTAATACTCTCCCTAAAAATCTAGATTTAAACCCTTCCTAATCCATCGATATCTTTCTTTATACATTCACAGCTTTATTTCTTGGAAAATCATTGACAAAGTTATTGAAATTTCATATAATTGATCATCGATCTGATCACTTTACTTCTTGAGCAGAGTGGAGACCACAGCGGGGGCAGCGTAGGCAGAGTAAACGGAGGGCGAGGCCACATACGAGGCGGAGTACACCGAGGGGGCGGAGTACACCGAGGGAGCAGCGTAGACGGTGGGGGCAGCATACGCGGAGTAGGTGCGGGGCAAGGCGGCGGCATAGGTGGTCACGGGAGCAGAAGCAGCATAGGTCAGGGCCGGAGCAGCGGCATAGGTGGCCACGGCAGGAGCCACAACATGAGCCTGGGCGGCGGCGATGAAGAAGGCCAAGCAGATGAGGAACTAAGGATTAAATAAGCAGAGAATAAGGAGTAATAGCGACTCAAAATAAGGTTCAATATTTAAATAGAATTCCCATATTGATTGGAAATATGAAAATCCTTTAAAGAGGCCCCTAGAGCATCCTAGATTTCTCTTCAAAGCTCCAAAACCCACTCACCTTCATGTTGATTGTGTTGTTTTTTGGTGTTCGACGAACGTTCTTGAAGACTGAAAGTGCGTTGACTGATGCTGTTCTCCACCAAAACTCGAGTATTTATACCCCAAAGACAGACAAATGCCAAGAACAAGTTCCATGAACAACATGCGGATGTGGAATTGGTAGCTAATCCTCCGAGCATTCCGTATCGAATGGATTAGCATTGTTCGCCCGAATGTTTGTTTATTTTTACACTCAGTCAACAAACACCTAGAGGGGGCGGTGGAATTTACAGACAGGTAGACAGGTAGGTAATGAGAGCTTGATTGTTTGTCTGCGCCTTTTGGGTCAAGTTTGGTGACAAGCAAAAAAAGCGCTTTGATAATCGCGGTAAGCGAACATCGAGTCAAAAGGGAATCATGAAATAATTACGCTCAAACAGAAAGCGTAAGTGGCCCTCCAGCTCTGGCAATCATTGTAATTTGCGTCATCGAAGTGATTTTCAGTTGTGGAACTCTGACACTGACATTGAACAATTTAACAAATTATTGGGATCAGTTCAAGTGTCAAACTAAAGGATCAATCATTGATTTAAAGATAGTAGTGCAGGTTTCATTTTACTTTTAGGAAGAACTTCTTAGTTATTACATAAATCTGTAATCAATTTAAAAGGGGCTCACTTATTTTACACGCTTTCATGAGTCTTGATAATAATATAAAAAATTTAAAACTCGTAAAGTTTATGTCCAGACAGATGGTGGCAACTCCTTCCTTAAAAGTGTACAGTTTCGTTTATTAAGTTTGTTTTTTGACAACCCTTTTGCTAAGTGAGTGAAAATTATTCACCTCCCCGTGATTTCTGTGGAATATTACAAAGTGAAGACAAGATGCAGCGTTTAAAAGAAGCCTCTGTGGCTTCAAAAAAACAGAAGGTAGAGGATCTGCCGGAAGTCCTCACCGGAATCTGTGTGCAGGAGAAGAGCCTGCGCTCTTGGATACATATGGCGGTGAGTTCGCAGTCTTAACCCAAGAGAGCCGCATTGATTTCCTGCCTCTTAGCTGGCCTACTACTCGCGGGGCAGCTTTGAGAACTTTGTGTACCTGCTGGAGGCAGCCATAGCCGGATGCCTGCGGACCTACGCCTCCTATAAGGAGGATCTGGCCAGGGCCAATGTCCTGCTGGCGGCCTATTTCACCAGGCAGGCCTATAAAGAGTTGGGCAGTCGCAAGAACGCCTTGCAGGCCAAGGTCACGAACATCCTCCGTCTGCTGGATGGAATGAAGCGGCCCGAGGACCGTCAGCTACTCGTGGTCACGGGCTATGCCCTAATGCTGAACCCTGGCCGGGCCCAGGAGGCCGATGCCAACTTTGTCGCCGTCCTGCGACATGTGCCCAGCCATATTCCGGCGCTGATTGGACGTGGCTGTCTGGCCTACAATCGCCAGGATTACATCGGGGCCCTGGGGTTCTTCAAGAGCGTCCTCATGCACCAGCCCCGCGGACCGGCGGACGTTCGGGTGGCCATTGCCCATTGCTTCCTGAAATTGGGGAACCTGGATAGCGCCCGGCGCTCGTTCGAGCTGGCCCTGGAGCACAATGGTAGGTGCCAGAACGCCCTGCTTGGCATCGCTATCCTGAAGCTCAATCAGCGGGAGAAGGCGTCGATCAGGGAAGGCATTAACCTGCTCTGTGCCGCACACGAGCTGAATAATCGCCACCCGGTGGTCCTCAGCATCCTCTCCTCTCACTTTTACTATGTGCGGGACTACAACAGCACCCCGACTCTGGCGGGAAACTCGTATGTGCTCACCGACATTCCCCAGCTTCAGTCGCAGAACTGCTTCCAGATAGCCAGGTGCTTCCATGCCACCAAGCAGTACGATCAGGCCACGGATTTCTACACGCTGGCCGTGAGACTGGCTCCGGAGAGTTATGTTCTGCCCCAGCTCGGCCTGGCCCAGATGAACCTGCGGCGGGGCGAACAGGGCAAGGCCAAGGTCGGTCTGGAAATCCTACTGAAGGTCATGCCAAACCAGATCGATGCCATGCGACTGCTGGCCAAAATATATCTTGCCGAGAAGCGGATAGACGAGACCATTAAGCTGCTGCTCAAGGTGGTGGAGTCCCGCTGCCTCTCCCGCCTGCGGGACTATGACAGCTGGCTTAGCCTGGCGCTGGCCTATGAGCAGAAGCAGCGGTGGAACCACGCCATCGAGGCCTACCAGCGGGCCATGAGGATCTACGGCGGCAAGGGCGATGCCTATCCCATCGAGTGGCTCAACAACGTGGCCGTCATCCAAAAACTGGCCCAAATGCCGCAGAAGGCCCTCGAGACCATTGACGAGGCCCTGGGCCTGATTGGCACCAAGGGCGGCGACCACAAGGAGACCAATATGCTCACTCTGCGCTTCAACCGCGGTCGCATTCTGGAGGAGCTCCATCGCTGCGACTTGGCCACGGTTGCCTACAAGGACATTGTCGCCGAGTATCCCAACTACCTGGACTGCTATCTGCGCCTGGGCGTGATGGCTCTGCGGCAGAACGATGTTATCCCGGCCATCGACTACTTCAAGGATGTGCTCAAGCATGACAACGACAGTCTGGCAGCCAGGTGAGTGGGATAATAACCTCCTGATTCTGTATATAACGCATCCCTTTCAGGAGCTCTCTGGGCAATATCTATGTAACCCTAGGCCTCACCACTCAGGCCATGTACTGCCTCAATGTGATCCTCAACAACAGTGCCAAGCTGGATGCCTTCACCCTGGTGGCGGTGGGAAATGTGTGCCTGAAGAAAATCCAACGAAGCCTGGCCACGGGCGATAATGAGGCAGCCAAGAGGCATCAGCAGAAGGCTCTGCTTTTCTTTGCCAAGGTAGGCATACACATGTGTGTATGTACTGGCCACATTCTATATATTCCTTCATCCTTTCCAGGCCCTGGACCGAGATCCCCGAAACTTGTGGGCTGCCAATGGCATCGGTGCCGCCTTGAGCTGTCGCCGTCACCAGGCCGCTGGCGAGGCGGTCTTCAAGCAAATCGTCGAGGCCAGCAAAGTATGTCCCCCTTCGGCTATCCTGAACTTGGCTCACATGGCCCTGGAATTGGGCAAGCACCAGGATGCCATTGAGGCCTACAGGCAGTGCCTGGAGCACAGTAGCCGGCCAAACAATTCAGTGGAAGTGATGCTGGGACTCGCCAAAGCTCTGTTTCTCTCAGGCAATGCCGCTGCATCCAAAATGTGGCTCAGCAAGGCGCGTCACCTGGCGCCCCAGGATCCCGTGGTGATGTTCAATCTGGGCCTGGCCATCCAGGAGGACGCTGAGCAGTTGCTGGGACGGCCGCGTGGCAAATCGTTGGATCTCATGAAGGCTGAACTGGAGCTGCAAGGAGCCTTTGGGTGAACTTAAAATTAACTTAAAAATATTCATAAATTTGGTTAAAGTATAACCCTTATTTTGCAGATTTTTCGATTACCTTGCCAATTGTGAAGGCCAAACTGAGGTGCCAAAGAGTGACGCTGCCGAGAAGGCCAACACCTGTCAGTCTTTGCTGACCAAATTACCCATAGAATTGCAGCGTTTACGCGAGCTGGAGGTCCTGGACGAGGAACGCATCCGATTGCAGGAGGAGCTGCAAAAGGAGGAACACGAGCAACGCCAGCAGCAGCGCTTACAGCGGGAGCAGGAGATGGCCAAGCGCCAGGCAGTCTTGGATCGCACTAAGAAACTATTAAAAGAGCCCAACGATCAGGCACACAAGAAGGAGAAGGGACATCGGGGCAAGAAAAATGAGGATGACCAGGACGAGGACGAAGAACGGGAGGGCAAAAAGAGAAAACGGTCTGCTTCAAAGGCTGAAAAATCGGCCAAGAAAAAGAAAACCAAAGATGAGGCCGAAAAGCAACCCGATAAATACAAGAGCAAAGAGTTCATAGACTCCGATGATAATGAATCGGAGGGGTCAGAGGATGATTCGGCCACCAAATACAAGAGACCATCGCGAAAGGATTCAGCCAAGAAAAGGAAGAACCAAAAGGCTATATACTCGTCCAGTGATAATACCGATGAAGAGGTAATCGAGGAGGATGAGAATAGCTCCCCGGAGATGGAGCAAATGGATGTGGATTCCGAGTCCAAGTCAGTTTCCGATTCAGAGTCCGAGACCGAGCCACTTCAAAATAATATCAACAATAACTATCAAGACAATTCTAATGAGAATGATGGCATGTCGCCCGAAACGACCATTAGGTATATGGAGGAGCTGCAAAGAAGAATGCAGGCGTCAACTAAATAATTGTAAAAAGGGAAAAGGATTACTGAGAGTATTCTTTATATTTTTCAATAAAAATTGAGAAATATACAGAAGAATTTTTATATTGGGTTTTAATTATCCTTTTCGCACATTTTCTGTCTTTAAAATAGAAAAGGCTTATACTGTCTTGAGTCTAGTTTTTGTCCCTTTACTCCTAGCTCTCCATATTTCCCCCAAGAAAACTCTTGCAACTCTCCAGGCTATAAATTAGTAAACTAATAATTTTGTAAAAGAAAACAGTCTTCGTTTTCCACTCTTGTTAGTTCCCGAAATTCCTTTTAATGAATTTACATATTTGTTTCAATTTCGACTACGTTTTCCTGTGGCAAACACAAAATGATTCATTCAATTCGCCGCTACACATCGCTCCAGGTTGCCCTCTCTGGGGAGAAGACGACAGGACGGCGAGCACACATGTTCATTTGAATGCCAACTCATGTCGTGGGAGCCGCAGGACATCATCGGTGGGTGTCCTGCTTGAATTACGCATCTACTTGACTGCCACTTTGTAACTGTCAGTGGGAATCTAACGAAGCAAACCAAACCGAAACCGAAACTGAACGGAACTGAGAGCTGAAACGAACCGAAAGTTAAATATTCGTTGGGCAAACGCGAAAAATGATTCGTGGATGGGGCCGGCAGCGGCTCATTAATATCAATTTATGAGCTGAGACACGAAATTAGTCTGTGACAAGTTTCGCCGCAGGATGTGGACAAACAAACAAGCGCGCACACACAGCCATCCATCCAGCGATCCATCCATCCCGCTCCGCTTTCCACACCACTCCACTCCACACATGTCGTTGCTTTGTTTTCTGTTTTGGGTTATGGTTTGGGTTTGGGCTTCGGCTGGGGATGTGTGGATGTGGAGTGGTTTTTCGGCTTCGTCTGGGCTGCGTTAATTAATTCCAAAAGTGTATTGCGTGTCCTGCCAAAAGGACAAATATGCGTACACGAACTCATGTCCTGTGGTGACATGGGCTTGTTACCGGGTGTCGGTGTGTATTTCATCCACAAATTATGAAAAATATTTTCAAAATAAATCAGGAAAAAGCGAGTTCACAGAGTCACAGAGTATTTTTTGGTCAGGAAAATATAGTTTTTCGTGTCCAGGTATTTTGCAGTTTCCCTTCCTTGCAGGATATTATAACCTCAGTCGGAAGCCAAAAACGCAGTGAAGGAGTCGTTTCCGACCCTATAAATCATATATATTCTTGATCAGCAACAAAAGGCAAGTCTATCTAGACATATTAAAAAGAAAAAAAAAATTTATAATTTTTACAAAATTTTATAAGGGGTTACATCATTAAAATTCTCAAAAATTGCGAAAAAATTTTGATTTCTTAAAATTTTATATTTAGTTTCAAGATTTGTTAATATAGAAAAAACTAGCATAGAACTGTTTACCAATTGAAAATTAATGCATTTTTGGCTTAGTTATGATAGATTTTCCCCTGTAAAAGTATAAAAACTTTGGCTCTTCTTTGGCAAATGTTAAATTTTTCATATTTTCCCTTTGTATTCACGAGATAATTCCTCATCGTTTTTATTCTAAGAGAGCTTTAAAGTTTCTTACCGTAACTCTCTTTTTCCATTCAAAATAATTATAAAAACTACCAACTTTTATACACATTTTGTTCTTTATTTTTTTGTTCACTTATTTTCACTTTGTTTTGCTCATTCGCAAATATTAAGTTTAATTGTACATTAAAAATGGAGACTGAACGTAAAGTACTTAATTTTCGAAACACAAGAAATAAATATAATCAAGGGGTTAATTAAGAAAATATATATTTATATATTTAAACATACTTAAAGAGTCAAATTTCCCTAAAATTAAATTTCATTCTCAAGTTCTTAGTTTCGTTTCTTTTTTTGTATTTTTATTTGTTTTCGTTTTGTTTTTCCAATTTATAATTCGAGTCACAATTTGAATTTGATTTTGTCATTGAAGAAGCACTTTGCATGTTGGGTTCGTTGATGGTGGGAAGTAGGTGTAAAACGGGTTGTAAGTTCGATGAAATTGAATTGGAAAGGGGGTTCTTCTTGGGGGCAGGTTGTTGGTTTTGCGCACTTTAATCTTGGATACATACAGATCATTTATATATATATTTATATTCGTACTATATAGAGCTGAAAAAGTAGTTGTCGACAACAGATGCTTATAAAATTTCATTCCACATTTAACAAAGTTGATTCGATGCACACATACACGCCATATCCATATATCGTATTGTATCGTATCGTTTATAATATATATATATATATATGTAGTTTGCGCCTATTTCAGATGTCGTGTTGTGTGTGTGGTTGTGCTATATGCTTTATAGAGATATGCCATTAAATTCTGTAATTTTATCATAGGGATAGTCTTTTCGTAGATTCGCAATGTGACTAACTAAGTTCAATTTAGTTTAGGCTACAACTAGTTTAAGTATTAGCAGACCTGATCCTAAAGTAGGTTACATATATACACATCTATATAGCTTAACTAGTTGCGATTAGTACTAGTTTTCTGTTAATTTCACAAGCATAGCTCATTATGTTTCTGGTTTCTGTTTTTTTAGCGCACAAAGACAGATTCTCGAGTTGTTTAAACTAAATAAATGCCTTTCTCCTTGTGGGTTCGAAAACAATGCTATGTCCCTTACATTCTGGGCTTTAACTATACACGATTAAGAGTTCTAGTTTAGTTTCTCCAGCTGCTGCTTTTGTTTTGCTTGCTTTGTGGAAGTCTTGTCGATGCAGCTTACCTACTATAATACAGATTTTGGGATTCAGTTACCTCTGGGACAGTTCCTTTGGGGGATTAAGTATGTGTTACTTAGACAATGGTGGTGCGCTCGGCGCCCAGAGTGGTGGTGGTGCACGTACTGCTCCCCCCGATGCACACGATCTGACACTTGACGTCCTCTTTGGCTAACTCTCAGGAGCTCACCGTCTCGTAGTTCCCAAGGCCACCGCCGCTCATCAGCAGCGGCGACTGCACCCCCACGGCGCCCATTCCCCCCAGCGTGGTGCTGTACGTGGCGGTCTGGGACCGCGGCGAGGTCAGCAGCGACTGGGCCGCTCCGATGGTGATGTTGCCACTGGTCACCGAGCTGGTCAGCGCCGCCGAAATGCCACCGCCTCCATGGAGTCCATGCAGGCTGCCAGGATGGGGCAAGGTATTACACGCCCCACCGACCACGAGACCATTGCCACCACTGCTCCCATTGGTCTGTAGCGATCCGTTGGATTGGCCACCCAGCAGGGGCATGGTGCAGGTCGTGGTGGATCCATAGGGGGAGGTGGGCGAGGTCCTGGTCTCGTACGCCGGCAGGTGATAGCCGGTGGCTCCTGCCGAGGTCACCGTTGCACCGCTGCCGGCACCACCTCTGCCCGGGATGCGGGTGTAGATGTTGGGGGGCGTCCGCGTGGACAGCAGGGGCGGCGGAGCGGTGTAAACAGGTCGCTGAACGGCAGGAGCGCGCTGGGGCGTGTTATACAGGCTGAAGGCAGGGTTCGTGGTTAGCGATAGTTCACCGTACTGTGAAAATAGGGGGGAGAAAATGAAAGGGGGATTATAAAAATGTTTAAAATCGTTAAAGGAAATATTTGGAAATTTTTAGAATTTAATTCTAAGCATTTTAAGTGAATTATTATTAGGTTCTTTCAGTAGAAAACGAGAGAGTTTGTGTTAGCTGACCTTGGAGATAGCTTGGCAGCATTTGGGCTTCTCGGGTTAAGCCAAAGGTTCGTTATCTGGTTTAAGTCAATCCACAGAAACCCTTTTCCCTTTTGAATAATAAATATATTTCCCAATTGTTGATACTTCCGTACTTCAGGCTTCATGCTTTTAATTAAAACTATAATAAAAAGCCCTACATTTAGCACAGCCTTTTGATTTATTTAGCTTTTTAATTAGTCCTCCCCCCTGGCTATCTCTCTGTAATTTCTCTGGCCCCTTAAACTTTGATGGGAACCCCCCTTGTACACAGTTATGAGCGAACAAACTGAACTAAACTCAACTGAACGCTGACGAAAACAATTTCTAATCGAAAAGTTGGCCAACTGACCCACACAAACACCAGGAACTTCTAATGAGCTTGTTACGAACTCTCTCCAACTCGAAGGGACGACCGAACTGAACCGAAATTTACAAAAAGCCAAGCTAAACACAAAAAGCTAAACATTTTTGGAACTTTTTGCTGGCGACGACAACGCCAACACGACGACGACGACGACTGGTAACAAAAACATTTTGCTCATCAAAATTTGATGCCCCACTTCCCAAACAATCCTCGGAACCCAAAAAACCGGATAAAAAATGAAACCAAACAATGATAAAAATTTAAGCAAAACTGCACTGGGATGTGGACTGGACACTGGAGCAAAAGTTTCGGCGGGTCAGCAACTTGTTGTTGTTGGTGGGGAAAACAAGGAAACTAATTTGTGTAATTTATTTACGGTTTCTGGCTAATTGAGGGGATGGAAATATGTACAAAAGGGGAAGAGAATGAAGAAACAGGGAAATATTCTCTTAGGGAGGCGAGTTCTCTGTTGTTTGTACAAGGTTTTATGTCAATAGAAAATATTTCTGGTCTAGTTTTGAGTTAATAAATTGGAGCTTCTTGTAAAGAATTTTGTAACTCAGGTTTATTAATAAAATTTTAAAAAGTAAACTCTAGAATAGGGGTCTTTTAGTGCAGAGACACGTCATTCTTAAAATATTCTACACATTTTTAATATTTAATTAAATTTTCTAACTGTAATAGCATTAATTTGTAATAGGTTTTGGCCTGGCTATGAATATTTGAATACATTCAGCTATGGTGTTTACAAAAACAAGCTTTTTGTCTCTTGTAATCAACACCTAAAATGCATACAACCCTTGCCAAAACCAAAAAATCCAAATCAAACACCTAAGTCCCCATAAAACTAAATCAAATACCATATCAATCCATAGGAAAACCCCCAAAAATCCCCCTTTAATCTTTGCCCTGATGGAATCGCTTTTAAAGCTAAAGCCTGAAAGTAGGCAACATCGGCGCCTCTTTGTGAGCGGCGTGAACCATTCACAATATGCAAACTGGAATCAGTAATCGGGAAATCGGAAAATCGGAAAATCTGGAAAAAAAAGAAAGCAGGAAAAAAACAACAATGAAACTCACCTGTTTGCCAAAGGTAGGCGAGAGCGAGGGCGGCGGCGGGGAGGCGGTATTAATGCGCGTCGGCGGGGTGTACAAAATCCGTTGCGATTCCATATTCAATCGGTCGAAGGCCTTCTCCTCCTGATGGAACTCGTCCTCGCTGTTGGCCTCCTGGGGCACCACATCCGGATTTTTGTCCTCCAAACTGGAGTGGCTGCCCATGTTGCGGGAGAGGGGCTCCGCACTGCCCTTGTCCGCCTCGGTGGTGGTGGCCTCGCCTCCATTACCGTGCCTACGCCCGCCGCCGCCCCGTTTGCTGCGGAATTTGATAAAGATCACCACGCAAATGGCCACCAGGATGAGTGTGGCAATCACACCGACCAGAGCGCCCAGCAGGGGTGTCAGCTGCACCAGCACCGCCGTCGATGAGGCTGCAGCACATCGCATCCATGGAAAATGTCATGCAAAATGGAAAGCAGATATGGGTGGAAAATTGTGAAAAATCGAATGACAAAATGCGGACAAGCAGGAGGAACAATGCCAGCGGGGGGGAGGACCGATGGCCGCCGCCACCTGCCATCATTTGAGGGCCAAACAATGGGAAACAAAAAAGACCAATTAAAATGGCAAAGTGGTCAATAAGCTGGGAACAGACGATGCCAAAATAGCTCAGAGGATGTCAAAGTATAAAGTTCTCAGTTTAAAATCAAAATGTCAATTTACATTTAATTGTTTATCAATTGTTTTTTTAAGGAAATAGTAAGATATTTCCATTAGGAATACCCGGTAATCAAATTTGAACTTGAAAATTTTAGGAAAACATTGTTCCAACTTTCATTGCTGCCTGAACATCGCGCCTGCACAGGTAACTCCCATGTACACTCACCTGTCCGCAGTAGAGGCGCCGACAGCGTACGTCCTCGCAGGCGATATGCCACTTTGCTGGCTCCCTGGGCATTCACCGCTGTTATCCGGATGACGAACACCGAATCGCTGGGCAGACGCTTGACCGTAAACTCCGGATACTTGTAGGACGCGTTGTACAGTATCTGACGGTTCAGTTCGTCGTAAATCTGGGCATGGAAGTGCTGGGGAATGCCGCCATCGTAGCCGGGAATGCACTGAATCTGCAGGGAATTGGCTGTGGCATTAAAGGCCGAGCAGTTCTTAACGGGTTCGGGTAGATCTATATTGGGAAATGGATAATTAAGAGGGTTTTGTAATGAGTTTCTGTTGGGAAGGGGTTCTTGAGAAAATATTAGAGATTTTCTAGGGAGGTTATACATCGAAAAATGTCTTAAGATAAACCTGAACTTAATCTTCTTAACCAAAACCCAACTCTTTCCTTTCTCTAGAGTATAGTTTGGGATAGTTTCGGTTATCTTTTTTCTAAAAATCCCTTATCCTTTTTCAACTCTTCTGATAGAAAGACCCTATCCTTGACCTCCCACTAAAGGCCTGCCTCGCATGTCATTTACAGTTGCTTTTCCGTTAAAATTTTCCGCTTTTCCGCTGGTTTTTGGGCCATGGCCAGCGGCGTAGCTTTTATAAATAAATGATGTACCCTGGCAATTTATTGCATTTGATTATCAGATTATCGTGGGCCGCACACACAGACTGCTGTAGAAGTAGTTGCTGCAACAGCAACAGCAGCAGCAGTAGCATCAAGCAAACATGCCGTTGGCGATGGTAAACATGGCTTTTATTGCTGTCAGGGACAAAACTGGACGGACTCTTAACCCCTTGACAACCGTTGGACAGGCGCTGCATCGCGTTAAATTGCCACCTGGCACAGGTTGAGGGGCGAGGCAGCTCCGCACAAATGTAAATAACGAGCCGAGATTCACTCTCCGGCAGCCGTACGTGCTGCGTGCAACAATTATCTACTGACCAGGAGCAGGAGGCGGACGCGGACGCAGTGCGAGCATCCAAATAGAGTAAACATGTTGGCCACGCTCTCTCGATGTGAAATTAATTAAATTTTTCCACGAATACTCTTTGGGATGTGGGGCTTCTTAGCTTTTGAGGGACTTTCGAGATGCCTTTATGGGGGCCTTGGGAATTTAATTAGATTTTTAAAAGAGGTTCCCTAGGCTTTGGTTTTCTGCTCGATTTGGGACTTTAAATATTTTTTAAACATTTAAAAAAAACCAAATACCATGCTTCTAAAACAAATTCTGATCCCTTTCATAGTCTTCAGGCTCTCTTATTCATTTTGTAATAGAAATTTTACCCAAAAAGTGTATTTAAAACTCTCTTCTACTATTTTTCCGATGACTTCCTGATTTCAACCGGCTCTCGGAAGAAGCTTGCTTTATCTCGCGTCTACGCTTGGACGGACTGAAAACTCACCTGCCGGCTGGATGTGATACCAGCAGGGCTGGCTGTGGCCCATCGGACTGCTGGCCACGCAGGAAATGGCGCCGAAGGACTCGTAGCTATCCACGTGATAGCTGTACACGTTGTTCAGCGGCGGAGCGGCGGTGGTGGTCGGGGGCGTGACCACTCCGCCACGATGATGCTGCTGCTTGTGCAGGGCCGAGAGTCTCTTGCGCTCCGCCAGCTGGATAGCGGCGGAGGACAGGGAGGAGGATGGGTGATGCGTGTCCGAGATGGAGCCACCGGACTGGAGATGCTGTTGGTTCTGTTGCTGGGACGGCTGTTTCCGTTGCAACTGCTTGTTGATCTCCACGTGGTTCTTGTGCACCATATTGGAGTAGACCATTTGGGTGTAGGGCAGCTCCTCCTCGTTCTCCGCCTCCTCCTCCTCGCCATAGTACTCGTCCTCGTCCTCGAACCTCACGGCCGCCATGCGTCCGTGTCGTCCGTGAAGCAGGCGCTGCTGCATTCCGTGCGAGTGCTTCCGCTTGCTCCGCTGATAATATCCGTTCGGAGTCGAGTCCAGACCGGAGGCCAGCATCATCGGAACAGCTCCCAGTTGGGGCAGCTCGATGAGGCTCTCCAGTGAGTTGTTGAAGTGCCACTTGTAATTTAGATTATCGAGTGGATTGGCGTCCACCTCGCAGGTGATGTTGATTGTCTGCTTGAGCGCGGCACGTATAATCGTCGATTCCGACTTGCAAACGGGAGGATCTGGGGGTGGGAATACACGGGGAGAAATATATAAAACAAATTTTATATAAAATAATATTTGCTAGTATTTTTTTAGGTATTTAAAGAAGAGATCACTTTAAAAACTTCATTTATACTCTTAAAAATCTTCTCTTCTCTTCTGTATCTCTTTTAGGAATCTCTTTTTAGGAATCTTAATTTTTAGTCAAAAAATTTAAATTTGTATACTATTTTTTCTCGCTGTGCACTGTTCAAGTGCAAAAGTTAAGTGAGTTGTGGGTTGCAAAGTTAAGGTGGACGGTGGGTGGTTTGTGGGTGGCACTTACACTTCACATCCAAGTAGACTTCGTTGCTGGACACACTGCCCTGCAGGTTGGTGGCCCTGCAGAAGTACTGGCCGTGCGAGGATTTCGAAATTCCCTGCAGGACGAGCGTCTGGTTGGAGATGATGATGCCGCGGGAGGAATGCAGCTGCTTGTCCTGTGTAAAGGGAAAATAAATATTATTCAATTAGTGGTTGTTGTGGGTGTTGAGGTTTTGCTGTGCTCTGTAATTTAATTAGAGGAAATTGTTGGGGGGGAAACATGGTATTTAAGTTAACTTTTTAAATGTTTTCTTTTTTCTGATATTTGTATAATTATAACACTCACACTGTGGTACCACTCTACGCGAGTTATTCCCGGATTGGCCTTCACATCGCACTCCAGGTAGACATCGGAGCCCTTGAGCAGATTATTCGGATCGAGGGGAGCTCCCAGATTCAGGTTGACAATGGGTGCATCTGCGGTAAATGTAAACTCTTATAATTCGAGCTTGACCCTCTTGATTTCAAGTAGTCCTTACGTGTCACATTCAGCACTCGAGAGTCCTTGAGATGCAGTCCAGTGTGTCCATTGCCCATGGTGGTCATCACCGTGGTGTGACCCTCGTGGAGCTGCTGGGAAGTAATGCCAGCATTCAGGGAAATGGAGCAGACCACCTGCCTTTCGTTATCCTCGGGCACGGGTATTAGCATTAGCTCCGATATGGTTGTATTGCCATCGGAAGATGTCTAAAGATTTTGATAAATATTTTATAAGGATTTCTTTTAGTATTATCTTAGGACTTACGGATGCTGTGGCCCCTTTCACGGGCTGTCCTGCCTTCGACCACATTATGATGGGCGGCGGACGAGCTCCTATGGCGGTGCAGGTCACATGAGTCCTTGTTCCTGCCACTACAGCGTGATTCAGTCCTTGCAGGAGCAGACTGAGAGGGGGAACTGTTGGGGGAAATAGCCACAGTTTTTGTTAGATTTTTATCTATCTTATTTCGGGTTCTATTAAGGGTAATTGCTAAGCGTTTCTAATTCTTATTAGTCAGGGTTTCTTACTTAATAATATAAATCTTAAGTTGATTGATATGAAAACATCTAATTATAATGACTTCTTTTATATTAAAATTAAGTCATAAAGGCATTAGAAAAACTGCTGACTAAAGGCTTTAATTTTAAGTTTCCCAAACTATTTTCTTGTTTAAAAATTCACATTTCAAAAATTCCTTTAATGGCTTTCACCTTAACCCTTTTATTATTCACTAGTTACTCGGCTTAACCCATTATGGTGTGTCCTGTCAAGGCTATACACTGATTATCATTGCCATATTCAGTTATTCAGGCAGAAGGACACCGCGCAAATTCCGCTGGTAAATTCTCTCGCTTCTCGTCTCTCGTCTCTCTCACGGCTGTCGCTTAATTTCCTGCACATCTATAGCCCAACCTTTATGGAAATGTTCATTATTTATGACACATTTTATTATGCCCATCACTGGATATATGCCATATAGCCCGCTGCCCCACTCGGGGGACCCACAATGCGATTAGCATAGCCACCCAGAGGCCCCGCCGCATAACCATAAATGCAGGGATGTGGATAAATATGCGAGCATTCGTGGTCGGTTGTGTGTGTCCTTGCGGCGGAATGACAAAACTTTAATTACATTAATTTCCATGAAAATGTCACGCCCACAAAACAATAATCCCAGAGCCACCACCCCGAAAACTGACCTTCAACTCTGGCCCACAGAATTGTGTGTATAATATTTTCGCTTTGCATTAAATGGAAATCCAGGAGGTACTTACGATTCATGTCGAGGATAACTTTCTTGGTCAGAGCCGGAACCACATGGCCATTGGTGGCCTGGCAGGTGTACATCTGAGAGGAGTAAAAGAAGAAAACAATAATGAAACCCAATGATTTATGCTCATTACAATAATTGCCCTCTTACTAATAATAATAAAATATGGAGCCAATATCGATGATAAATCAACCTGCTCAACATTTAATTTTAATTGCGGGAAATGTGTATCGAGCACGCAACAGCAACAGCAACACAGGACTAATCAATTATGCTTTTGGCCGAAGCACAAAGTGAAAAGCACAAAGCACAAAGAGTTCAAGAGGTTGGCTAGCTGCAAGTATAGTATATCGAATATCATAAATTCCCCTGCTGCTGCCCCCAGGTAATGTGATACTCCTCCTTGGGTCTTCGGACATTTTATTATTGTCGTCGCCTGGCAATAAAAATATTTGCATAACTTTTGGGTTCGCCGCACAGCGCAGGCCAGTCTCGTTTCGATTGGAAAATTAGGTCATAAATTTCTATTCGGTTACACAACGATATCTAGGTCTATATAGGGTCAGTTAGGCGGTCCCGGGAGTAGTTCTTTGGGTCTCTGGGAGACGTGTTTATTATGGCATCGAACGGTTTTCCAAACTATTGAATTTAAATCGATTTAAAAACCACACGCTCTTTAATTTTATTCTCTCTAGTATTTTTTTTTTTAAAGCTTTTATTAAAGATTAAATTATTTTTATTTGCTATTCTGGTTTTTGCTGCCGCTTTGTGATGCAGAAATTTACCCATTAACTGTTGGCGTTAATTAGGTCATTAAAAAGTTTATTTTTTTAGGTTTAATAAGATTATTAAACTACTTTTTATTAAAGTATATGGTTAATTTGCTGTTTCAGGGGTTTATTTGCCTTTATTCACACATTTTTTATATTAAATAAATTTGCTTTCATAACTCTTTCCCCAGTTCAAGTTATTTATTGCTTTTAAGCCATATTTTGACTGCTGTAATCATGGATTTTCCGCTTAAATATAACCAATTTTTCACCCTAATCTCTTTTCTATGATATCTTCTATGATTTTTCCTGCCCTAACATATTCTCTCTGCAGTTTAAGCTAATAACTTTTGGTATTACACGAACAGCGCTCAAGTGATTCCACTCAAGCCATTCTTTCATAACACAAAAGCGACCTGACCCGACCGCCGGCTCACAATTTGTTCTGTGGCCAAAGAGGTTTGAGGGGGGGCTATAAGCTGGGCGGAAACCGACGGGATCTGAATGGCGGGATTAACGCTGCCTAACAATAATGTTCATTACACGGGCCAAAGAAAAATCGGCTTAGAATCAACAACAGAACACAGAGAGCGCATAAGAGCATCGCATTGCTGCTTGCTGGAGGGGAATTCTCGGGGGGATTGAGGAGTAGGATTCCCTGCGGGGGTAGGGTAGGGAGAGTAAACCACCATCACCAGAACCACCCAGGGAACAATTCCCAATGCAGGCGGTTGCATTTGATTTCCATTATGGCCCATTGTACGGGGCGCTGTCATTAACGGCGGGATGGAGAGGCCCACAGACCAAAAGCTGCCCTTTTGTGGCCGAAAATAAATGGCCAACTGGCAGTCAAGAGGTGAGAGCGGTGAAAGCTGTGCTGTTAGCTTGGCTTTATTCTAGCTGGAAAAAGATAGCTTAAACTGGGTTTTTCAGATAGAAAACTGAAGAGTTTTTAAGGTAAAATTTAAATACTTTGGGTTTTCAGAGAGCCTTTTCTTCCCAGTCCTCTTTAAATATTTTCAACGAACTTGTAACTTTTAAGTTTCCAAATATGTAGCTTATTTTTCTCCTTATTTCCTTTTTTTCTGACAACACTGACCAAAAACCAGTGGAGATAGCATTGGTATTGTACTAGAAGATGCTTTGTCCGATGGTCGTAAATAAGGCTTACGATATTGGGAGCAAGCCTCGCCCCCTTCCCTTTCCTTCCCTTTCCTGTCCCATTCCGAAAATAGCCATAGCTGATGACTTACCGTTAGGAGATCCTTCCGCTGGATGTTTTTCAGTCGCAGGATATTGCGAACGGAGCCATCGGGCAGGACCTGGAAGGAGTCGTCGATCAGGGCATGCTCACGCCACCAGGAAACCCTTGGCGGTGGCACTCCGCCGCTGGACAGGCAGGTCAGGTCAATGCTGTCGCCCTCTAAATAGGGTCCTGCGGTCTGGTCACGTATCTCGGCACCATGATGGTCCATGATGATTAGCTTGGTGGGGGGAACTAGAGGGGAAAATGGGGTTACAAAATATTTATAAATATTTTTGGAGCTTGGGAAACTTGTAGGCTTATTCTTAATTGTTTTTTTAAAGCGTTTTTTACTCACCCAGCACTGTCACATTGATGCGCCAATTACGAGTTGGTGACTTGTGGAAATCCACACGACACTTGTAAAGACCCGCATCGTTGGTCTGAATATTCTTGATCCTCAGGGCAGGCGGTGTGCCATCGTAGTGGAAGTGAGCCTTCTTGTTGAAGACACTCTCATCTGCCCAGGGAACGGCCTGGGTCAGAGGGCGATTCCTGGCATCGAAACTGTAATTTAAGAGGAAAGTCAATAAAGTTACTAGAGTTAGGAGAACACATAACTTAAGCACTCTATTAAAGGCGCTAGCTACCTATAAATAAAAACCCCAACTCTGCATTTAATTGCACATAAAAATTAAACATTTTGACACGATTCCGCCATCAAAACCACCGCCTGCCTGACAGGCAGACACCTTCAATTACCCTCGATAAGGCAAATGGCGTTAACCTGGTTCATTGATTTTATTGTTCAAACAATTGAGAGACAACATCGACTGACCAAGGGGAATGTGTGTCAAATCCCGGGAATCCATACACTAAAAGTGGAATACCTAATTAGCTGCTCCCTCACTCCTCCCTTAGGGTCAGAACTATAGATAGAACTTGGATTTTTATTGTTATTGCCAAACGCTTTTTTGTTCTTTATTTTATGGCCTTTGTCCAATGCATTTTGACAAAGTGCCCGGCATTAAATGTCAACAAAGAACTAAAGCTTTGCCCCCTAAAAAGAGATCTATAATTCGTAAAATGCATTTTCAGAACTTTTGATTTCCATTTGGCTTTCACTTTTGGTTGCTTTTAATTTTTAAATTTTTTAGCATTTTTAAATGGTCCACAATTTAAATTGGTTTCGTCTCTTGGCGTATTTTAATTTGATTTCTCTTGTTGTTGTTCAGTTCTTTGTTTTTTGCTGAATTTTTGCTATTTATGTTAATGGCGGCCACGCCCATTCGGCGCCCACAAAAGCATGTTTTTCCTTTTACATTTTATAGTTCACTTCAATTAATTAATTGATCAATTTAGCCCTGGCTGCGTTTCCCTTTTGGGCTTAAGCGGATTCCCATTTTATTTCTGTATTTCCTTGATTTCGTATTTTGTTTTTATTTCTCTTTTTGTTTTCCAAGTGAATTAAATTTTTTGTTTTTCCTGTGGCACTTTTAAGTAGCTTTAAAGAGCCCACAAAAACATTTTAATTTCGCTTTTTCGAGCGATAAAAAGCACATGGAGGCATTTTTCTTTTTTATTTCTCCTTCGGCTGTGAGTTATGGGAAAAATCTGTGCTGATCTATAAAAGTGAAACCGAGTTTAGTGTTTCAAAAGGAAAAGTTTGGCTAAAATTAGCCTAGGGATTATGGGAAAATAATGTTTCTTTAGATATAAATGTAACAAGAAGTGATTCCAAATTAAACTCTGCTTAGTTACATGAGGAAAAACTTTTGTCAGACATAATTATTGCCTCAAATAGATCATAGGCCCCACTTTACACTTCACATGATTTATCATTTAAGCAAAAACACTCGAAGGAAAGAGAGAAGCCAAAGCCCAAAGATCGAGAGTAAGTGGCACAAGATGGATGGGATATTTGTTAATGGATTTTAAACATAATTAAATTATGTAGAGAAGTAGAGAAGCGAGTGAGTGAGTGAGAGCTGGAGGGGCACACGAGGTTATCCATGGGTTATCCCTGGCTTATCCATGGCAATTGGAAAACAAATTTCTCATGCAATTAATCTCTCTCGACCTTTTGCCAGCCTTTTGGCCATATTGAAATTTCCAGGCACGCCAAGAAGCAGCACGAGCACGAGAAGAAAGCGGAAAATTTATGAAGTGTGGGAAAAGCAAATTAAAATTGATGGAAAACAATAAAGAAATGCGGGCCAGGGCGAGGAGGAAGAGGGCGAGATATCTGCATAAACCTCAACTTTATGTGGTCATAAAAAGTGCTCCTCCTCCACCGACTGGTAATTGCATTCGAGGGCACACTGTACTGGCCACACAGCGAACTCTGACACTTTGGCTTGACATCATCGATTCAGAGGAACGAATTTAATGGAAAATAAAATAAAATTCAATTTCTGGTCTACTGCGCATCTGTCTACTTGAGACTCCACTCGACTTCACCTGCCACCAGCCTCGCTTTGCCCAGAACTTGACTTTTCCTGGGAAAAAAATTGCAAAAAAAAAGTAGAGGGGAAAAAAGTAAAGTGAGTTGCCAACGAGCGACCTTTGAACCGAATTGCTGCTGCCAATCAGTCAGTCTCTATATGGTTGGGGCACATACATATATATATTATATATATATATCTATAGATATTTTTCCTATCTGCCAGAACCGCCCACAGCTTCCCCCTTGCTATTACTGGCGACATTTCCTGGCACACTGCCTCACAAAATGTGTTTTTTTTTTTTCCGTACTTTGTCCTGATGATGAGCTTGTTAAAAATTGTTAAGGTTCCAGTTAAGCACTGGGAGAAATAACTAGGTAAAATGGGAAAATGCAAAAAGGAAAATTCAAGGGAAAATTGAATACATTTTTGAGCAATAAATAAATTACCTAAAATATTTATACATTTAAAAAGTTTAACATATTATTTTTAAAAATTTTAATTAGTTTTTAAACTGAAAAAAAAAGAATGAATAATAATTTCTCTTGCTAGAAACTAAAATTCCCAACGAGTTCTAGTCTCCACTTGGTGATATTTTACATTTTATTTCATTTTCCTTTAATCATATAATTTTTTGAAGTGACTGTGAGAGTATTTTACCTTAACCCCACCCACAAAAATCCCAGGACACCCCCCCTTTTCTCCCACCTTACCAAAAGCACGTAGGTTCTTCTGTGTAAGTAATGTTTATATCGTCAAATTCAACATAAATGCCTCACGTTAATAGAATTTATAATGAGCCAAAGCCAGCGCCTACTTCGTGTGCGTGTGCCCCTCTCTCGTCCCTTGGAAATTCAAGACTGGAAGCTTCTTCATAATTGGCTGGCATTCCCCTCGGAATCGAAATCAAATTCATTTTGGGTCTTTGGCTAATGCCAAAATATATCAGAGAGACGGCAAAAAAAAAAAGGAAAAAAGAAAATTATTAAGAGAATTTCATTTAGCTGACACTTTAGCGAAGCGTCACTGTGAAACAATCCCCGGGGAGGTGCTGGAGGGAAATGACTTAAATACATATATATACGGGGAATTTTCTAAGCCTCAAAAATGGATGATGTTGCGAAAGTTAAATGCGAAGATGATGGGGAAGGTTTAAGAAACAGATTTAAAGAAAAGTTAAGTATGTGGAAAATGTAAGAAATGGTATGGAAAGAGTAAAGAATATGCGAGAAAAGTCTATAATATAATTAATTCAAGAACATTGGTGGCTAGGAAAGTGGTATTTAACCTAGATAAATCTTAAGTATATTTTATTTATAATTCTTAAACTTACGTGTAGATGGGCTTTACGCTTCCCTCCCGATACCAAATGACCAGTTGCACTTTATCGGCAATCTGTGTGCCCGGCAAAAGATCACAGGGCAGAGCCACCTCCGATCCCACAGCAGTGAGAACCTCTGATAAGGGTCCTGGAAATACACATAAATATTTAAATTATTAGGGGGGGTTGGAAAGTACTAAAATATTTAAATTATTCAGGTCTGAGAGGAGCGCGGGCATGTATTATGCATTCAATATGGCCTTCAGGTATCGGGCTAGCCAGTAGCTTCTGCGGTTTTCCCTTAATTGAAATATGTGAACTCTGACCTGGCCCTATCGCCGCCCCATCTTATCCCGCTCCTTTGTGTGTGGTTGTTGCGCGACATAACTATAAATTGACTGACAGCTTGATTTCCCTTTGATGATAAAGCCCGCTCGCTGAAAGGGTTCGAGGGAGCTCGAACTCAAGTTGAACTGTGCTGCCAGTTCCACCACCTCCATTGTGCGGATTCCGACATGGAGACATCATCATCATCATCACCGACGCAGCGCAGCGAGTGGCGCCTCTGACCAGCCACGTTTCACCGTGGTTCCGAGCAGTTTTGGGGCTCAACCCGAGGCAACGGCGACATCGATTCGATGGCACCGCGCTGTGCGTGCCGCCGCCCAGAGGGGGGTTATGTTATATACGGGCTAAGGCGCTGGGCGGGAGCGGCAAGAGTGAGCTTCAATTAGTCGTTGCCCTTTTGGAGATGGTTTCGTGACACGAAGGGCGATATTTTGGCACTTGAAAGATGATTAAGGGTCGCGAGAGTTATTTCTAGTTGTATACCAAATTTCAACTCGATGGGAAAAGGATTTGCAGAGCAGGAGTTTAGTTTCTCTTTAATGAAGCAGAGACTCAAAAATAACTAACAATAATAATGTATTCTCTCTATAGAGACAATCATTTTGAAGATATATAATTTTAATAGATCTAATAATCCCAATCTTCAACACTCCTCTCTAATTCTGGGTGTTGGCTTGAGGGCCCCCCGCGAACAACTTTAACTTGGTTGTTGATTGGTATGTGTATTTGGTATTATCAAAAGGCATTGTAATTATACAAATTATATTTTCCATATTTTGTATTGCAACACCAACAAAAAAAACAAGAAATAAAAACAAAAACAACAGTAATATCATTAAAGGGCGTGTCGTACGTGCCTCTATGTGAGGCCCTCTTTCCCCTCTGCCATAAATGGGGAGCCCCCGCCGATGAACGTTGACTGCCTTTCCAAATATTAATCAATATTTATCTAGATTAGCTATGTATGTACCTCCCCCCCGGCGGGGGCGGAGTGCCTCTTCCTGTTTATTTGAACTGAAATTCAATTATTTTAATGCATTCTTATTCGATTAATGGGCATTTTATAATGATTGGTAATGGAGTTTTTTCTATTTGTATATTTTTGGCAGAGAGGAAATTAGGCGTTACACATATGGGTTAGCCCTCAGGGAGTTTTGATGGAATTTAAATGGAAATTTAATTAAAAAGGGAGGTAGGAATTATGTTTTACATTTTACATTTCAAATGAAATATATTTCAAATAATCAATTAAAGTTCTATTTACTTTGGTAAATGATTAAATTGTTTTGTAATTGATTGTAAACTTTGAACTATGCCAGCAAAGTAATAAATTTTCCTAATTAGTTTCTCTGCTTTGGAGTTTCCCAATTCCAGAATATTCATATAACCGAAAAATCGTTTCCCATCAGTCCGTCTGCTTGGCATTTCCGGATTTCCGAGCCCCATAAGTAACATTTGCCATTAGGCAATCCGAAATCCTCTCTCGCCCTATCCATCTATCGATATGCATAAACACACTCAAATAAATTAGGGGCCACCACATGTGTGTGAGAAGGAGGAGGTGATGGCCCGAGGCGCCACAAAAATTAAATAAAAATTGAAGCAATTGGTAATCGGATGAATGATATAATTCATTGAGGCCAAATGCAATTTGTTATGGCACCGAAATGGAATGGAATTTGTATTTGGGTCAACAGATCAAAGTGATTAGGCCTTACAGCTACAGATACGAATACATATAGTTGGGAGTAGAAGAGTTCAATTGCTAATTGCAGTGTGTTCACACACTCGGAAGTGGGGAATGACTCTGAACTTTTGCAATACATTTTCCGATCTCTGATGCTACGCTTCGTTGTCTCTGAAAAGATTTATTGTTCGACTGGGGGGACACATATTGACGGAGTGATCGCCAGGGAGTGCATTTCAGTGTCTCTTTTTTCCTTCTATTTTTATTATGGGCTCTTGGGCAAAATATTTTGACAAATTTCCGTTGGATCCGTCGGACATTTGGCTGCTAATGGTGCGTGCCACAAATTTCCCGCATCGTGTATTCTATAATTAAGCGGATCGGATCGGATCCAGAGCAAGATGTTACTCGTTCCGCGTCCCATGTTGTCGCCTCATAATTGTGCCACTTTAAGTGGGCGTCAACATGAGATGGCCAAGTTGTAGGCCTCGAAAAAAAAACACACGCATCTCTTAACTAATTCTTGTTTCTCCTTGGATCCCCTCGATTTATGAAATGTGAGGAAGAGCCCCCCAGAAATTCATTCAGGTTTTCTTGGAATATGGTTTCGTGTGTCATATTCTCCGAAATCCACACAATAAAATATTAAAACTCCTGTGATGCCGCGAGGGAATTACCCTTTTTCCCATATTTTCCATCAGTTCACAGTTCAAGTCACAAAATCAAATTTATGAAGGGAATAAAATCTTGTTTTTGATTATAAAAAAAGCGGATTACAAGGGCGATTCTCTGAGAGAGGTTACTTGAAAAGATATAAATAAATATTTAGAAATATAAAGTAAGGTTGCATATATTTAAATTAAAGTTTAAAGCTCTCTTAAATTCTTAAATAAAGCCTTTAGGATTTATTTTCTCTATGGTTAGAATTTCAACTAAATAAATCAAACCAAAATAAAGTTATTCAGTTTGTTGAAGATTTATAGAAACACAAAACTTCCATTTGAAGGGGGAAAATTCTCTAAAAGCATTGCAGTTTTCTCTCTCTTTGAGAGTTTTAACCAAAAATTGGTTTAGAAAATTCAATAAAACTGGAAAATATATAGATAAATATTCACAAAAAATTCCACAAGTCTAAATTAAAATTTAAGCTCTCTTAAAACCCGAAATAAAGGCTTCAAGAATTTATTTTCTCCACAGAAACCATTTCAACTAAATAAACCAAAACCATAAATTGAACAAAAGAAAGTTCTTTAGATACCCAAAGATTTATAGAAACACAAAACTTCCATTTGAGGGGGGGAAAAATGCACTGCACTGCATTTCCAGTTGCATCCCCGGGAGCGGAAATCCATCAAGGCAGAGCCATTCGCTAAGCTCATTTAGAACTTTTGTGAAAACAAACAAAAAGACCAGAACAGGCCGGGCCCGGACCCAGGCAATTATCCAGTCAATCAGTCATGCATTTAGAGCCCCCCATTCATCTCGGTTATTTATTTATTTATTTGTTTGCCTGCAACTGTGAAAATATTTTGACAATCGCCTCAAGTGATCCGCGATCTCTATGGCTCTCTAGCTCTCTGGCAATCCGACTGGGCGCCCTGTCGATGAGGTAATTATTCAGATCATTTGTATATGGCCCAGCGCCGCGGGTGCTCCTCTCAAGCCCTTGGAGAAGAACTCAGTGTGGGATTATTCTTTGAAGCTTTTTCTTGGCGCCAAACAAAACACGAGAAGAATAACAAATGGAAGAACAGCCATACTGCTGCCAGGAAATAAATCAAATTAGAAATGTTTATGTTGCTTTCTTCCGAAAGATACCGAGGGGCTACAAAGTGGGAAACTTGACTGGATTCCTCTGCAACACCTGAACACCCAAAAGCCAAGAAACAATTGCTGACGACAAATTGCCAATGGCTCAAACGACGTCATCAAACAGCAGCAACGATTGTCGTAAAATGTTTCTTTGACTGGGACTCCCTTTTATTTCTATATTTTCAGCATAACAACGGCAACAAAGTGGGGTTCCCCTTTCCCGCCGATACTTCTGCCCTTAACCTGCACGTGACCAATGACAATTTGCGATCCACTGTCCATTTATGACCCCCGCCGCCACTCGTTGTTGTCGACGTTGATTTGAGCTTTAATATTTCCTGCAGGCGCCGCCATCAAAATGTCGTAGGCGGAAGTTGGAATGGCTAAGGGGGCCGATGATGGTCGTAATGCCAATAATACGATTGCCGATTGGAGGAAGTGGGAGGCCCAAGGAGGAGCGAGTGACAGGCTCACCTAAATGAAGTCCAAAATTAGCTGAAAGTCAACTTGCCGACTTCTAATAAAGTTCTTTTGTTATTTCCACTGCCGGGGAAGTTGTAAAATATGGAAAATACACACTCGTTAGACCCTCGTCGTCGTTGCCTTCTGAGTTATTTTATTTGATTTTCATTAGATTGACTTTCGGTTCTGGCCCTTGGCGAATTATTATTATTATGCATGAGCCAACATCAAGATGGCCTGTCTTCCTCTGGGGTATTTTTCAATTGAAAAGCAGGGAGAGATACTTTTGGGGGATATGCCCAAATATTGATGATATTGTAGGATAAAAAGGGCAGCCTGGCCTGCCATAAGTGAGGTCAAGTTTTGTGGTGTTTGAGTGCGAGGTCAAGGTTGAAATTGTTAGGGGAAACTTTGTGTGGGCTTGAGAGGGTTTATTTGGGATAAGTTTAAGTTGGTTTAGGTTCTGCTGTGTTGGGCTTTCCAAGGGATTTGTAAAGTACAATTGGAATTGTTAAAACTTGCTTTAAACAGACTTTAAGTTTAAGTCAATCTCCTTTCCACATTCCAAAAATCTACCCTCTCCCAGAAACTTTTAACTTGGTGCCACCAAATAGCGTGTCTGACCCACATCATCCATCCAATCCACCTTCACATCCAGCCATCCGGTTCGTTCCGTCCGTCCAGCTGTCCAACGCCTGCCAAGCGCATAACCTTACAGGTAATTCTCTAAATTAATATTTATACAAACCCACCTACAGCCTAAACCTGCCTGGTGTTGTTTCGGGGGAAAGGTAACTTAGCTTAACTATTTTCTTTCACAATCTTGGTTGGAAAATCTC